GTACTTACGAAAACTGTCCTTCTAAGGAGTCTGCTCGTCTCGGATAAGATATAGTTAAGCTCGTAGCTAGCGAGGGTGCTAGTTACCTACGCATTAAGGTCTGCCTTATATCTAAGGATAAGACTAGCTGCTCTACTATTATCGAAGGTATATATTAGCCCAAGGTCTTTACGAACTAGGTTGAGAAGCTTAAGGCTCGTAGCCTAGTCCTACTAAGCAAGATCGGTAAGCTTACTAATAAGTACCTTACCGACGACGACCTCGACTATATATTCGATAGTTAGCCTAATAGTAAGGGACGCAAAGCGGAGTAGATCCTCAACCCTCTAAAGGAGTACGAGGTCTCTATTTAGATGCTATACCTACTATATAGTAATCTAAAGACTAAGAGCAACCGTATATTAATTAACCTAGGCTACTCTCGCGTTATTAACGGTACTAAGGTTAAGGGCTACGAGAACTTAATAGTCTCTTAGGTTGCTAAAGCGTACCGCAATCTAACCGCCCTCCTAGCCTCTAGCTCCTTCGTGCTATTCGCTTTCCCTACGGCGATCTTAGTCGAAGGCCTCGGCTATATCTCCGACGCCCTAGTTAGTAGGATTCCTTAGTTAAGTTACGTTATTTAGAACGAAGTTGAATAGATCCTCTAGCTTAATAACGAAGGACTTAAGGAATATCTATACGATTAGGAGAAAGCTGCGACGGAAAAGGCTGCTAACCTCCTCGTTAATTAAGCTTTCTACGAGGGACAGTACTTCGGTGCTAATAGCTTTAACGTATACGGAGGAGATTTCGAGAGCCGACTAGTAGATAAGGTTATTGCTAGTAAGGACTACGGCGCGTTGAAGCAATAGTAAGTCTATATAGTGTTGCTTAGGAAGTTGTTTTTGCATAATTATAGTATCTAGGATTAATGCTACCCCGGGGGTATTATTGCGGAGTTCTAAGAATAGCCTTAGCTAAGAAGCGCTAAGGATGCATATATGTTTGTTTTAAGCGCGCATAATGTAAAACGTGTCTAGTTAGATACGAAGAAAGGGAGGGATATTAGCTAGTAACCGGCCCTACACCTATAGGCTAGTTTTAAGCCTATATAAGAGGCCTCCTTCTATAGAGTAGACAGATTATCAACCTCGTATAGCATATTGTTTATGTCACACTTCTATAATGCCTATATTGCAGGGCTCTAGTTATTAGCCTAAGCGACAGTCTCGTTATCCTATCTTACTAAACATGGCTGCCTATATTGCTATAGGTTATGTTACCCTCGGTAGCCTATACTATTGCTACAAGTGGTAGTAGTAGTATTAGTTTCCGTCCTTTATTAGTACGAAGAACCTCCGTGTCCGCAAACACCTATTACCTAATAGCAAAACACGCCCTAAACTAGCACTACGGTTTATTAGCCTATTCCGCATCTAAGAACCGAAGGGCAATAGCTAGGCCTACTAGTTATAGCTCCTACCTTATTATACTATCTATAATACCTTCTATATCTCCCTCCTTAAACTATACTACTAGCGCGAAGGCGACAAAGCGCCTACTAAGTTAGAAGAAGTCTTAGCTAATAGCGAAGAGCTATAGTCTATAGAACGCATCCTAAAGCACCGAACTAGGCAAGGTAAGAAGGAATACCTATTAAGGTAGCAAGGCTATTTACCTAAATAGGACTCGTAGGAAGCTAAAGCCTCTTTTAAAGACATAACTAAGCTATTAGATAAGTATTAGACTAGTATAAAGAATAAGAAGAAGGCTAAGGGCCTATAGTGTCGCTAGAACCGCTAGAGAGACCTAGGATTAATACTACCCCCGGGGTGCTATTAGCTAACTAATTAGAGGCAAGTAATTATTAGTAATAAAGGACAATAAGACTATACTACTATAGCGAATGCGTACCGAGTGCTAACGAGCGCGCTATAACTATTAACTAATCGCCTACTCTTTTAAGGATTCTACCTCTTTACTAACGCGCCCTATAGGTCCCCTCTTATTCCTACGCCCTATCGAGGCCCTAAGGCCTGTACGGCCGGCGAAGGCGCGCGCGTAACGAATAGTATTAGCGATAATAATAATACCGACGGCGCGGCCGGCGCGGCTATATTAGTAACGGTATTACGGAGTATATTGCTAGTTAAAGCGTTGCTAGTCGAAGGAGGAAATTAGAAGTAAGGTAAAGTTAGCGCTAAGACGACTAGCGCCGCTATTATTAATATTACCTACTTACTGCCACTACTAACCTTACCTACACTACGAGCCGAAGCACTATACTAACCAAGCTAAAAGATTAAACCTATTAAGGGTTTAATTAAAACTTTAACTAAGTTAAAAGATTAAGCGACTAATAGACTAACTAAGGGCAAAACTATAGAGCTAAGCTAGCCAGGGTCGATCTTGCGGACAATAGGTTACTCCTCGATCTTTCTAACCCTTTAAGCGAGGCAAACCTTAACTATTATACTTATAATAGCCTTTACTTATAGAAACTAGACGAACTATGTTTTTTTAAAAAGATAAGATAAGATTAACAATTAAAGGCTACTAAACCTAACTAATTGGGGCTAGCGAAACTACGATAGTAAATAATAGTCCTCGTAATAATAAGAACAAACCCTCGGAAGCGGACAACTCTCGGAAGCGGACATTTCTAGGTCTTTTAGAGTAGACGCAAAGAACTCGGAACGACATTACTTAGAGCGGAGGCAGTGCTATAATACCTCGTACGTCTACCTATTATAGTAGGGAAGACGCGCCCGTATTATAATTAGTCGATAGTTCTTAATTCTTATAGATATATATTATTTTATAGGTTGTTATATATAGGAATAGCGTAGTTAGAGTTAGGTATTATATTAGAAGGTAAGGTTTTATATAGTTATATAATTAGGTAGTTAAGTGTTTAATTTAGCGCGAGCTAAGCAGCTTATTAGACTTGCTAAGTTAGTAACAATAGAGGTCGAGATTAGAATATAGATAGGCTACGAGGGCGCGGCCTTTAGAAGGGAAGCGTATATTAGGGCTAAAGAGGCTATATACGTAATTAGTATATAACTAGGCTAAGTAAAGCTAGGGTCTTAGTACCTTAGGTAGGGCTTAGCGCTTAGCGTTAGGCTAACTAGCCTGCCTTCCTCCTTCTCCTCCTAGATCTCTATCGAATACTACTTGTACCTACTACTACCCTATCTACTTGCTAATATAACCCCTATTACAATCGCTTAAGATCCTTAGGATCCTTAGGATCGTACGTTAAAGATCCTATTAGATAGGATCGCTTAGGATCGCGGAGTCGCGATCCTATCGATAGGATAGTCGCGATCGCGAAATTTAAGGCCTAGGAACGCAAAGGACGCGGGACAAGTTAGAGCCCGACTACTATCGTAATTACTACTCCGTATACTACCACTACGAGGTATTTCGGGGTATTCTATACTAATATAGGTTAAATTTAGCGGTTTAGTAGGTTTTTTTTGTAGGTAAATTTTTTTCGTTAAGGTTTCGTTAAATGCAGCCGATATTTCGTTAAGGTTTCTTTTAAAAGCCGACGCTTAATAAGTAGAATTTAGAAAAAAAGTATACTCGAAACACTCGAGATTCTTTTCTAGATTCTAAGATAACTACTAGGTATAAAGACTTAAAAATTTACAATACTCTTATTAGTAGGTAGAACTTTAAGTTCCGTTTTTTAGATTTCTAAAAATAGTAAACTATAACTTAAAAAAAGCTAAAATACTATATTGCTTGTTTCTTTTTCCTAGCTTTAGTTTCGTAGAAAATCTATAAATTTTATATTTTTTTATAATAATATACTAAAAATAGAGTACCTTTCTACTATATTACTAAGCTATAAACCTACTAGAAAAAAAGATAAATTAGAAGTAAAATGTCTAGAAAAGCGATTTTCTTTCCTTTATATCTTTTTATCTAGAAGGTTTACGGCTTAGTAATATAGGACAAAAATGTTTTATTTTTAGTATAGTATTAGGCAAAAGTTATAAGTTACCTATTTATCGTTCTAGGATAGCTTAGGATCGCTCGGGATCGCTCGGGATCGCTCGCGATTAATAGGATTAATAGGATCGATAGGATCGGTAAAAAAGTTTTCGTAACGTATAGTATTAGTCTCCGAAGGTAGTATAACTTATTATAATATAGGTAGCTATACCTAGTAGGATAGGATAGTAGTCTTATAGTTTAGGCTATAGTAATTAGAGCCCTATAATAGAGGCACTATTAGAGTATAATAGGAATAGTATATTATACGAGGCTAATACTCCCTCTCTCTATAGAAGGAGGCCTCCTTTATAGGCTAGTACCTAGATAAGGGTATAGAGCCGGTTACTAGCTAGTAATAGTACGGAAAGCGCTTCTATAGGTAGGGCCTTTAGAAGGGCAGTTATAGCGCGGTAAAGAAGGCGGTTAGTAGGTAAAAGCGCGCGACCTAGAAGTTGTATACGAAGTTATAGAGCCTAAAACCTAAGAGGAGGCAAACTCGATAGAAGGCTATAGAATCTCGATAAAGGAGAAGCCCTAAGATTGTTAAAGCCGCGGCCTATATACGCGTTACTTTAGAAGACCTAGATAGATACGTACCCGACGTCCGAAGTAATAGCGGGAAACTATAATAGATATCTTACCCTCTATAATAGAGAAGAGGGAGGAAAGGGATAATATAAAAGGCTACGCCCTAGGTAGAATATACTAGCCTTAGACATTCGGCCTATACGATACTAACCTACTACTTAGCGCCTAGCGTACTATATAAAACAATACAGATTCTAGTAAATAGACTTAGCTTCTTATCGAACCTATTAGATCTTATATCTAGTATCTACGTACGTGTTACTTACTTATAATATTTATATAGATATTAGATTCTAGATCTCTAGAGAAGCCGTTTACTTAAAGGGGATAATTTCTAAAGGAATCTAGTTCTATTTCGTACTTTACTTTTTCTTAGAATTATAGGAGGTGTTTCTTAGCTTAGGTTAGAGATTGTAATTAGTACTCTCTAAATTCGTAGCTACTATAGTAAGTAGGTATAAAAAAGATTATTGCCTTTAAACGACCTTCCGGATATCTACTAGTATTGTTTCGGAAACTTCTAGCCGCTAGTAGCTAGCCTGCTTTAACGGATATAATCTACTTTTTCGATAATATCGTCGTAATATGCGGTCTTTAAAAGCTAAAGGGTATGTGTACAGACATTAGTAGGGCTGCTAGAATAACTTATAGCCAAGGAGAGACTGCGGATAGGTTCTTAGGCGTGGCTAGAAGTTTCCGAAAAAGACACTAGGTTTCTGCTGAATCTCGAAGGAAATGGCTGTGACTCGTCTCCAAACGATTGTGTGTCCTTTTCATCCCGATCCTGCCTGCTCTGTCTATATTTCGCGAATGCAGTATACAGGTTCGATTGTTTCCGCGGGTTTGTTGGCACGACATTTCGCACTTTACAACAAGGAGTAAAAGCAGAGACATCCTCATTAAGCGCAACTTGGCTTCTGCTCGTTGTTGTGCTTCTCCGTATCGGTGCACTGCTGTTTCTTTGGGTCGCATGGTTGTGGACAGCAGGGATTCCCTTTGTAGTCCCAGTACCTTCAGAGAGTCAGTGTAATTCATCCATCACTAGGTTAGGAGGGTGCAACAGTACCAGTCATTGCCCTGGTTAATGCCACCAGCGTCGTTGCACGCTGCTGCCCCGTTTGTAAGCTGTGGAATGATAGTCAGTATGGTGTAGTTCAAAAGCTGCGTTCCGTCTCCTCCCAGAAGCTCCGTCGATGCCAAAGCTGATGCAACGTCTAGAATTGGGCGTGTGAACATTGCAGCTACAAAAGGGATAGTTAACATACATGGCAGTGGACTGTGCCGGTGGCGTGATCGCAAATTGCCATATAGCCAACAGGACAGACTGCCGTTTTCTCGGCGTTGTTTTGATCACAGGACGGTGGTGCAGGTGCCTTTGCAGGTGCCTTTGCAGGTGCGGGTGCGGGTGCGGGTGCGTGTCCTGGTGCTGGTGCTGGTGCTGGTGCTCCTGATGGGGCGCCATATTTTCTGCGACCGAGCTTTGCAGACTTTTGTAAAACTATCAGCTACAATTCGTACGAACAGCGGGAGTAGAGTCTTCATACCATTCCGCGAATTTGGAAATCGCGTATTTCCAGAGGCATTCTTATGCTTGGCAAAGCTCTGACAATGCGTCCGTCGGCCTCCGCCGCGGAGGCAACATATAGCAAGAGAGCAGCGGCTGCCAAGATGATCGACTTCATAATAAGCAGTAATAATAGTAGAGACTGTAGGAGCGGCTATATAGTTGGTGTTGGGTGGCAGAGGAGTAAGGGATATATATATGCACACTCTTTCAAAGTTTCGGTGCTATTGTCTATACCCAGTGGAAGAGCCTCCGAGCCTGCAAGTTGCAACTGCTGTTTCATCTAATGGTCCAATAGGAGAAGCAGATATGCCCAATGCGTCACAATCCAACAGCCGGTTCCTGAGATGCGCTTCCCATTTCGGATCGCATATATACTGTAACAATAATAGGCCGGGACGGCAATACAACATACAAGCATCCCTTCGCCAGGGCAGTTGCCGGTTGTTGAAAAGGGGAGGATGTCGGGTGTTTTGCCCCGATACAATTGGCCTGCTGTAGACCAGGCGGCGATCGAGGGGGAGACGGTCGGAGGAGTTGGGGATGCCTGCGAGTAGGGAAAAGTGCCGACTTCTAGAAAACCAGTGACATCCTCAGGCGTTATGGGCGTGTGACGTGTTTCCAGGTTGTGACTAGGTGTTCCAGGTTCCTTCATCTCATTCCCTCGTTAGATGCAACCTTGCCTTGGGCGAAGCAAGGTGGTTATAAATAACCGATACCCTTGGTGAACTCGTTGCTGCGCGGCGTTCGTCGGTAAAGCCAGGATTGCGGTCCACTTCTCATACAATGTATGTACTGTACAAACTCTGTCGAGGCGTACTGGTGCAAAGCGGATCTGACCAACGAGACCGCTCAGATCTTATACAGCAGTTCTTTGGACTAATAGACCAAGGAGGTAGCCAAGGGGATATTATACAAGCCTTGCCAAGTAAGCTGGAAAGCAAGGGGCTGTGGGGAGACATTGGACATCTCGGTGCGACAGTATTATCTATACCCTGTCGAAGAGCCTCTGAGCCCTACGACTGCTGTTTTGTGCAATCAATGGAAGAAACAGATTATGCCTGTACATATTGAGTTGCAATCTACCACTCCGACGGCACGCTAGCATTCGGTTCTTGGATCTTGAAAGAGGGTGCGCTATGCTGTAATAAGAAAGCGGCTTCTCGTATACTGTACTGTATACAGGTCACACTCTGTATGGACGCAGCGGACTAATAAGGACTGACTACGTCCGACCGTTGTCTGGTGTGCGTGGACGCCACGCGAGTCCACATGCAGATCTCATGTAGGAATATCCGCGTTTGCCGTGTGGCAGCGGCTCTTTCACATCACAGCACCGCACCGCACCGCACCGCACTTAACAGAGTCGACGGCACGATGGAGCTGGAGGAAGGACGACCTCTTCATTCTTCACCTCCTCTCTGCTACCTGCAGTGCTTCCACCGTCGAAATAGAGGCAGATATAGACACATCTCAAAATGGCTGTCGAACGGGATTCCACCTCCTCACCCCCCAATGAGAAGGACATGCAGCAAGCGCCCTCTCGCACCGAATACCACAGCGATGTTGAAAAGACACCAGGAGGCTTCGTTGCCCACGAGGCTGATGGAAACGATGTGCCGTGGACAGCCACTCGCTGCATTGCAGTCTTCTCGCTCTGCCTGGTATATGTTGGATCGCAAATCATTCTGTACTTCGTCAGCTCCAACCTGACCGCAATCGCGATCGATATCAAGTCCACCCTCGCTAACTGGATGTTGACGGCCAACACTCTCGCTGTCGCCGCCGTTTGTCCCTTCGTGGGATACATTACAGACTTGCTGGGACGTCGCTGGCTGTGCTTGGGAGGCACTCTGCTTTTGATCATTGCCAGCGCGGTTCAAGGTACTGCGCACAGTCTTGCGCAAGCGGTCGCCGCCCAGGCTATTGGTGGAATCGGAGCCGGAATTTGTGAGCTGGTCGCTCTGGCTGGGTAAGTCGCTCCAACACCATCAATCCGACAATCCTCATATGATTGGTACAGTGTCGCCGAGATCACGCCAAACAAGTGGCGAGGAGTCACTCTCTCCCTCGTGACATTCTCCATCGTCCCCTTCATGCCACAGCTTCTCTACAGCATCCTTATCACGCGAGCGAGCACCTGGCGATGGTGCTTCCTTCTCACTGGTCTCTGGAATCTGATCGGCATGATCGGGCTATTCTTCTGCTACCATCCACCACCACGTAACATGCACCAAGGTCTCACCACCAAGCAAGTTCTTGCTCGCATTGACTGGGTTGGAGCATTCTTGTCGATTGTTGGCATCACACTCTTCTTGGTTGGATTGCAAGCGGGAGGATACCAACATCCATGGACCAGCGGCCACACTCTTGGCCCTCTGATTGTCGGAGGCCTGATGACCTTTTTCGCCTTTCCGGCGTGGGAGATCTGGGGAACGCATCCATACCCAATGGTGCCTGGCAAGATCTTCAAGGGACAGCGCGTCGTCGCCCTCGCCTACGCGATCGTGTTCATTGCTGGTATGGAGTTCTACTCCATCCTCGGCTTTTTCCCGATCGTCTTGCAGTACGTCTACAACACAGATGCCATCACCATCGGCGTTCGAGGCCTCTGCTACCCATGGGCCATTCTCGGTGGAGCCTGCATCATCTCGTTCCTCATGTCCTACACTCGCGGTCACGTCCGAACCATGTTCTTCCTCATGGCCGCCATGATGACGGCCTTTACTGGTGCTCTTGCCCGCTCCACTCCCGACAACAGCACTTTCACCGTGACAATGGCCACATTCGCGGCTTTCGGCAACGGAGCTCTGGTGGTTCCAGCACTCACATTGGCATTCTATGCAGCTCCAGACGAATTCGTTGGAACAGTTGGCGCTCTCTCGCTTTCTGTCCGCTTCCTCGGAGGCTCGATCGGAACATCGATTTACTTCAACGTTTTCCTAAACCAATTCAAGACCAACCTCGTCAATCTCGTTAGCGCGGCCGCCGCAGGAGCAGGAGCAAGTCAGGAAGTTACGGTCGGACTCCTGCAGGCTTATGCTTCACAGATTCCAGGTGCTGCTGCTGCGGTCCCTGGTGCCACGGCAGCAATGGTGTCCGCCACGCAGTACGCTTCACAATGGGCGTATGCAGAGAGCTTGAAGTATGTCTGGTACACCACTATTCCGTTTGGTGTGATTAGCTGTATCTGCTGCCTGTTCCTGCCGAACATCAAGCAGTACATGACAAGCAAGATTGCAGTCGACATTCACTGATTAAGAATTACTAACGACAGTCAGCCTATTATAGCAGAAGTCCAAAATGAAAGCAGTTTCAATTTCATCAATTTGGAAAGATGATACACTGGAAATGATCATGTCCAAACTAACAACAACCTTGAAAACTAACACGACTTCTACCCCGAGCGTCTCCAAGATCCCCATGCTGCCCTAATCAGATCTAACCCGCTTGTGTGGCACTGAAAATCAAGGAATTCGTGGAAAAGGATATCCGCCCAAGTTCTCCAGTACCGTATCCACCCAAAAAGCGGAGCACTTCACTTCACTTCTTCTTATATACAACGGCGAAACTTAGAATACTCTGATACGATACCATCTCAACGAACTCAGGAAACCAACAACAAACAACAACTCTCTCTCAAAGAAGCAAAAAAAAAACATGGTCGTCGGCCACTTCCCGCTCCAAAACAAAACCTGCGTAATCACCGGCGGCGGAAGCGGCATCAACCTCGCCTTCGTCAAACTCGCCGTAGAAAAACATAACTGTCGCTGCTTAATCGCCGACCTAAAACTCACTCCCGAAGCCGAAAATCTCTGCAAGAAACATCCAAACCTGATAGCGTTCACGCGTTGCGATGTGACGAAGTGGTCGGATCTTGAAGCCTTGCCGAGTCAACTAAAAGTAAGTAAAAAAGAAATCGATCGAAGAAAGAGAGAGCAACGTATGAGACCACAGCTTACACAATGCATTTCCCTCCCATCATCATCCATTCGAAAAAGAAACAACCCCACTTCTCTTCTCGAACCACAAACTAATTTTCTTCTTCTTTTTCTTCGTAAAAAAGCTCCTCTTCCAACTCCCCACCCTCATCGCAGACATCTGGATCGCCGGCGCCGGCATCTTCGACGGAAGCGCCTTCTTCTACAACGACCCCAAAGACACCACCAGCTACCTCTCCCTCCGCATCAACGCCGAACACCCCATCAAACTCACCCGAATCGCCATGCGCAGCGCCTGTGCCGCGAACCGACCCGCCGTGATTTTGATCGTCTCCAGTCTCGCGGGGATATGTGGCCAATACGCTTCGGCACTGTACTGCGCGTCGAAACACGCGGTCGTGGGCTTTACGAAATCGATGATGCAGGCGGATCGGGATGAGGATGTGAAGGTTGTGTGTATTTTGCCGGGGATGGTGGCGACGCCGCTTTGGACGGGGAGGGAGGCGAGGAGGGAGTTTGAGCAGTTTGGGTATAGTGAGGAGCAGTGTTTGAGTGCGGAGGAGGTGGCGGAGGGGATGAGGGAGATGATTGTGAGTGAGGAGTGGGAGGGGGGCAGTTTGATGGGGATTGAGAAGGGGGGTGGGGGGTTGAGGCAGAGGTTGGAGAGTAGGCAGGGGATTGATGTTGAGGGGGAGGGGATGGAGGGGTGGGTTGAGCATGCGTATGAGCCGATCCGGGCTGTGTTGAGGAGGGAGAGGGGGGTGAAGTTGTGAGGATGTTTGATATCGTTGCAATTGTCGTAACTCATACATGTAGTAGACTGAGGGATCTGGTTACCACTCGCTCGAACGCATGCATCATCACACGATTCTATCGCATCCCATTAATACGTCGGTCTGGACCACGCGCTCCCTCTCCTCATCCCCTGTTCATCCTCATGACTATGTTTCTGCCTCTGTTTCAAGCCAGGACACATAGCCATGGCAGGAGTCAACACGCTACTACCAATACCTCCAAATGCACTCGGAGTCCCAACAACCTCACTCATGCTAGTCCCCGTAGGATACAATCTCCCAGCCTCGACCTTGTTCGCCTTCTCTGCTCTCGCAGCCGTCGCCTCAGTATCCGAAAGCGCGACCGAGTATGCAGGGTTTGCAGGATCTCCCAAAGGCGCGGCGGAACCTCCTGGTGGTTCGATAGGGATCCTGCGCATTGTGGCCAAAAGTTCGCACATGAATTTGTTGCGGCGATGATTTCGGAGCATTTCGTTGGCCCAGTTTGACTTGTGGCGGACTTCGACGCGGAGTTCGAGGCTTTTCATATCGCCTACGCTGGTGAGTTCGATGTCGAAGTCGGGTTGGAAGTCGCGACGGTTTTCTGGGGCGGTGATGAACTTTTCCATTTCGCTTCGCAGGGCAACGATGTCTTCCATCTTTGTGGTGGCGGCGACGTTGATGTGGAGACGTTCTTTCATTTGACGACTGCGGGTAATGTTTTCGATCCAGAGGTTGTTGGCAACATTGTGAGGAATCTGCACGACACCATCGTTGTCTACGCGCTGAAAGACGGAGTACATCAAGCTGATGTGCTTGACGATGAGCTCCTGGTGCTCGATTGTGACCCGATCGCCAACGTCGTAGGGGTGTTTGACGAATAGGAATATGCAGCAGGACAGGAATTCGGTGACGGTGCCGCCGATCGCAAATGCGAGACCGGTGAAAGAGGTCCAGAGCTGAGCGGTCTTTGCGGCGAAGGCTTTGCTAAAGAACGTAGCGTAGATGAAGGCGATGGCGATGACGACTACGAGACTGAGCATCTTATCGAGGACTGCGATGGCGGAAGAGATGTCTTGCATGCTAGTAGCACGATCCTTACGCTCCTGACCCGCGCCGACGATAAGGAGAGTCATCTCTTCCAAGCTGACGTCTCCGTTGTCATCACGATCGAGCGTATGGAAGATCTCCTCTGCCTCTTCAATGTAATCCGAGCCAAGAACTTCGATGATGTCTTTCCTATACAATGCGTCTTGTCCTGCAGCGGCGAAAGAGAGCCACAAACGTCTTGCGAGAGCTTTGGAGGATCGCTCAGTCTCGAGGGCCTTTAGTACGATGGAGTGAGCATTGGTTGCGCTGAACAGTTGCTGGCCGGTAACGTCGGAGGCCATCGCACCGAACGCTGCGGTAGCCTTGTCACGAACTCTGTGTACATTGTTCAGAACCTTTGATCCAATTCCGGCTCCGTTCTTGTCGAGCGCGTTCTGGAATTCGGCAAGAGTGCTGTTCTGGATCTCGGCGTCTTCGTGTGCGAAATCTTTGCCGAACTCTGGAAAGAGACGTCGGGAGGCATCGTAGAGGAGATCGAGAAGTCGGATGAGCTTCTTGCTCTCGCGAATCTTGCGGTCTGTACACGCACGATGAGCATTTTGCGTATAGTATGTCTGGAGTAGCATTGCTCACCAAATTGCTTGCGATGATAATTGATAGAAATCAGCTGCATGATAGTCTTCTGAACGAGGAAGATGGCAGCAACGATGATGCCCGCTTTCCAGACCGTCTTCAGAGTCTTGATCCAAGCTCCGCCCTTGCCACTGTTGTAAACGCCCTTGTCATAGACGAAAATCACATCGGTAGTGGCAAAGGACACAATCGACCAGAAGAGAAGGGACAGGGGAATTTCCAGGGCCTTGAGGACAAGCGAGTATTTACGAATGCCAGTGCTGATCATGCCACAGGCTGCCTGGAAGACGATTGGGCAGGCCTGAGCAAACAGCTTGCAAACCCAGAGAGCGAGCCAAATGATCTCGATCCAAATGAATAGTCCAGCAAGTTTGATCCCATCGGCTCTGGCATCCGAGTACGTCGTCATGGTAAGAACGAGAGGAATGGCGAGAAGTGCTGCTACTGGAAGAATGTACAGCGCGTATCGCGTTATGACTGATGCAGAGTGGATCTTGTAGAAGAAGTTGCCGATTTTCGTCAGTGCATCCTCCTCGCCATCGTAGGCAAGCACCTCCGCTTTGTCGACAATGTCCGTAACGTGCAGACTGCCACTGGGTTTTCGTCGTCCAAGCATCGGCCGGCCCGTTTCCACAGCTGTAACAGTCACCGCTGGCTTCTTCTCCGTCTGAGCCTCGAGATCCATTTCGTGGCCACTGGAGACCATGGTGATGTCGTGTTCCCCTGCCATCTTGTCTGTATGCCCCAAAGCTGGCCGACAAGTTCAGAAACAGCAGAACAATAATATCTTGACTGCGGAAGCCATCGACGGGGCTGAAGTGACCTTATCAAGAAGCATGGCTGGGCGCCATAACTTAAGCGCGGCCAATGTCGAGGTCCCGTTCTGGACCACATGGATGTGTATCACTCTGTGCATCTCTTCGGCTATCCGCAGCCTCAGAAAGGGAATCAGATGTGCTCATGCGTTGCAAAGCTACACATTCGGACGTCCCGTCTAGGCGCAGGTCGATTTGGGTCAAGCGCGTAGGGCTTGCGTCGGACTCAGGCTAGTGACGGCGCGCATGAGCTGAAAGAGCCACGACAGCCAGTGCCAGCCGTGGTCTTTCGGCATGCCGTCACGCCTCTGGGAAGTGTAAAAGGTGGCTTGCAGAGAAGGGCTGCGAGATAACAAGCGGGGTCGAGGTCATCAGGTTCATCGAAGCTCGTTCAATATGGCCGACATCTCGTCTTGAGCGGAAGTATGCATAACAATCAGCCATTATTGCTTCAGGGGTTTGCCTATGAATGAGGCCTTTGGGTACGTTATGTCTCTAGGAACGATGGTTGAGGTGAAAGTGAAGAAGTGGCTGCTCAATGTTTGGGGAGAAATTTGAAATTTGATTCACGTGGCCGCCCAGCTTTTCTTGGCAGCGCCTCGGCCGGGCCCGCATCTCAGCTCAGCTCATTCAAGCCACTCGCCTTCTAGAAGTGTTGCAACTGTCACTCACGGACGGGAGCGAAGGCGCTGCACTCGAGTCCTGAACAGAATGGGAATCAATCCACCAGACATCGTTTCCTGTAGCGGCGAACGTGACGCGGAACTCCACTACAATGCTCTAGTTCTACCGCAGTGCGATGTATCGCGATCCTGTGCACTGCCAGGCTCGCTGTGTCTATGCTGCCAGTGCTATTGCCAGCACTCTTTTCGGCATTTTCGGCATATTGTTTGGAGATACTGGCTGGCAGTTGCGTCGGAAGGCATTGATATGTCTTGAACACTGCTAAACTTGTCCACGTTCCCTTGGGGCCCTTCGAGATTACCCATGCCTTCCGCTCGCCCATGACAGCGCAAGCATCGACTGGTAACATTGAGGAAGGAATGCAAGAGCTGGGCAAGCAAAGGGGTCGGTTCAGTGTGGTCATATCGTGGCGGGTGATGCACGAGGAGTACTGGCCGTCGCTGAACCAGAGTATGTTGCTGCATTCAATGCGTCTGCTGGTGCCGAACTGAAGGGGAAAGTGAACCATGTCTTCGGGCGAAAAGACAACATGATTTAGCATGCATGCATGCGAATACGCCTCACTTGGCCATCATATTGCAACTGCTACCCGCTCACTTGCCATCCTTCACATGAGCCCATTCTCTCCCACGCAGCTTATATAACTTAAGAACTTCCACTTCCAAACAGCACATTCGCCTCTGCTGCCTTTTGCATCAGACAGCTCACAGTAGCGTCGATGAGCCAACTTCCAACTCAGACCAACATCACCAACCATCTCACCCGTGCAAAGCGGATCAAAAGTGAGCCGCCAGCAGACGAGGGTCCAATGGATGATGGGTCTAATCCACATCGCCACTCGCAAACGCACACACAGCGAGACTCCAACAACAGCTCGCCAGCCCGCACCATACTACAACCGGGTCGGGGACAAGTCATTGCAATGAGCCAAGCAGACTCCAAAACCAACCCCAAGAAATCTGAGACCGGCGGTATGGAGCCGCCTGAAGGTCGCAGCCTCAATCCGGGCCCTATGAAGAGCTCAAGCACTGCTGCAACTCCAAGACGTGCGAGGAGAACACGCGACGAGCTCCGTGAACTTGCGAACAGTGGTAACGCCAAAGCGACTGCCGAGCTTGAAGCTCAACTGGAGAAGGGGAGGAACTCGCAGCGGAAAAGAAAAGAGCAAGCCGCAGCGGGGTTACCAAGTGCAGTAGCTTCCAAGGAGAAAGACCGGAAGCGTAGTCAAGACCTCAGTGCCTTGCGCCGCAGCACAGCACAGCTGAAGCAGCAGATCGAAACTGGCGACCAAGGAGCTGTTGCCATGCTGAAGTTGGTGGAAGAGGCATATCTCACCAAATATCCCAAGAGCAAGCTGAGCACAGTCTCCAGCAATGCCAACATGCAAGGACCTTCCGGAAGCCTTCAAAGCGACAAGCCCACCAAGAAGCCGGCTAAACGCAAGGCCGATGAGGACGATGAGGAATACATTGAAGCCAAGAGACGCAAATGGCGTGAGGCCAAGCAGAAACGGCGAGAGAAACTGGTCAACCTACCCGAGCAAGAAAAAGAAGCCGTCCCAGCCACCAACCTGCGTTGGGCCAAAGGACGTACGCTCAGATCCTCACACGACCAGCACGGCCAACCAACTCCGCAAACCGCATCGCCAGCCTCCACCCCAGTCACGACTCCCGATGCCACGACCGAAGGAATCGAGCCAACACCGACCACTGAGCCCGAACCCCCTCAAACCGAGCCCCCGGAACAAATTCCGACCTCAACACCACCAACGCCAACTCCCAACACCATCGACCTCGAAGACCCCGACCTCGAATTCCTAGAAACCCGTGCACTCCCCAAACCCAACCCCAACATCCTCACCTCAATCCACCAACGCCTCGGAGGAACCTTCCATCCCCATCAACATCAGAAGAACGACGACGACGATGATGTCGAGACCACGAAGCTGCGGATCCGACAGAAGGAGATTGAAGAAGAGAAAATCGAGCTTCAACTCAAACTTCGGCGGCTGCAGCGTTCTCAACAGGGTCCTGATGGAAGAAGGGACGAGAGGAGGGTTATTAAGAGTGAGGTGGGGATGGATGAGGGGGGGTTTCAGTAGGAGGGGATGTTGATGTCTGAGGGGGGGGGTGGGGAAAGTGGAGTGTGATACGAACGAGCGGGAGAAGGATTTCTGAGAGGAAAGAAGGTTCAGCATGAGTGAGCAATGCGGCTCGTTCTGGTTGGTCTGAAAAATTCACCATGATCTGGAGCTAGCTCATACCAACCACATCAGCATTCAGCAGAGAGAAGATCCGAAGGACAATAAATGAATGAACACGACATCAATTCCCCAGCTCCCTACCTCACTCACTATCTAATCAACACGAATACTAACAATCCTAACATCCTCGACCGGCTTCTCCTTATAAACCTTCGAATTCTCAATCAAATGCACAACATCCATCCCCTTAACCACACGCCCAAAGATCGTATGCTTATCATCCAACCACGGCGTCCGCTCAGTCGTGATGAAAAATTGGGAAGCATTGGTGCCAGGTCCGGCGTTGGCCATGCTGACAGTGTAAGGTTTGTCGTGACGAAGTTCCGGCGTGAATTCGTCTTCGAATTCCTTGCCCCAGATCGATTCGCCACCGGTTCCATCGCCCAAGGGATCACCGGTCTGGATCATGAATTTCCGGATCACGCGGTGGAAGATGATGCCGTTATAGTAGTTCTTTCGGGAGTGCACGGTGAAGTTCTCGACTGCTTTTGGAGCGTGTTGGGGGAACAGGCGGATCGAGATGTCGCCCATGGTTGTGTGGATGGTTGCGCTAGTGCCCATTCTGGCCTCTCGTTCTTCTTCTTCTTCTTTCTTCTTGGATGCTGCTAAGGTTCGTGGTTTCTCGTTGTGGATGTCGCGATCTGATTTGGAGACGCTGTTGTCGTTGGTGAACATGTAGAATCGAACCTTTGCGCATCCTGTTGTGACGAGCATGGCATCTCGTGCTTCGGCTGCTTCTAGTAGGGGGTTGCTTGACGCTGCCATTTGTGCAGTGACGAGGCCTTTCTTTGCTGGTGCGCCTTGGTATAAGGTCAAATTCAGCGGTCGGAAGGCTTCTTCTCGGCCGTAAAGCTTGACCATGCGATTGGAAAAAGTGTTGATAACTTTAGTTCCGAGTATGCTGCCGTACATGACGAAATGTCCGCTCTCGTCAAAGATGACATTGATGCGATTGCGAATGGCTGGATTTTCCAGCTCCCGCTCCACAGCCATGCGTCTGCCGAACTCAATTGGATCTAAAGGCTCTGTGCTCAATGTTCCAGCTTGCTGCATATCATTGATCGTGGCTAAGCTCTCATCGTACGTTCGATATAGCTTGCCGGAAACAAAGTCGAAGACGCGAACTTTCCGATCTGGAAAAGAGAAAGTTGCGAATTGCTCACCGGAAGGCGACACAGTTATCGAGCATGGAACAGACTTCGACTTCTTGAACTCAAACAGATTCGTGCTGCTCTTCATATCGAAGACATTGGAGGGCTTCTCATACGAGCCTGAAGGTTGCCAATATTCGATCATCCCGCTCTCATCGGCGGATAAGACGCAGTCATATGCAGCATTGTAGGCTAACACGTGGACTGGCTTTCGATGAAGACCTGCGATAGTGTGCATGGGCTTTTGGTTCTCGCCTCGCCCATCGTATATGCTGATGCTGCCATCGGTCTCGCTTGACACTGCAAGTAAAGGATATGAAGAGCCGTGACCGTGAACGAAGCAGATTGCTTTGGGAGGGTTCTCTGGCTCAAGCATGGCCAAGAGGTCAAATGTTGCGACATCGAAGATCTTGATCGTGTTATCTGCGCCCGCAGTCGCATAGCTTCTCCCATCTGTGCTGACTGTGACGCTCTTGAGTTCTCCCTCGTGTGCCTTGTATTCTTTCACGAACTCGATCCCGCCCGTGGTCTTCTTCCAGAACTTGACATACCCATCGACTGAACAGGTAATGAGGAAGTCGGTATGCGGCGTGAATGTGCAATGTACGAGCTGGTCTCGATGCATCAGAGACTTCGAATATCTCGGGGCTAAGGGCAGGGCGGCGACATATTGCTTCTCATATGGCAGCTTTCTGCGCTTCTTCTTGGGAGCTTCGGCGGAGGGCAGAGCTGGTCCAAGGTCATCGTCGCTCGATTCGCTGTCTTCGTCGGGCCTTGGCTTTTGATTGTCGGCTTCAACTTCATCATGCGATCGTTTGGTGCCTTGCGACACCTCCTCAGCTTCGGTCGTCATCTTTTGTGTCGCAAAGCAAAGCAAACCATTGAAAGTCGTTCCGAAGCATCTGAAAGTCTTGGTGAGCGTAATCGTGGCAGGTGCGGCGACTCCCGCAGAGCCGCATCTTCACACTTATCTTCCTTCCAGCCAGCTCAACGTCCGCTGATGCAGTCGATAGGAGAGATGAACGGTTGAGTGGTGTGCAAAGGTGAAAGTCATTCTTTGAAGCGATATCTACACATACTGACAATTCGTAGACATCCGCTGTGATGCGCCTCGATGTCCTGGAAGTACCTTCCTTCTCTGAGCTTGCTGGTATATCGAGAGTCACCTCCGTCCGTCTCCAGCGGAACCTCTTCAGACTTTTTCTGTCACATTCGCACCATTACGCTTCTGCTCCTTCTTGCGAACAGGCGTAGAGGCGATAACGTCCTGCTCATCTGCATCGCTACCCTCTGCAATTTCCCCATTGCCCATGACTTCGAATTTTGCTTCAGCAGTCGCCAGATTCTGCTTCACCGGCGTCTCCCCCAGATCACCTCTCCTAGCCTTCTCGGGCGATGAAACAACGAGACCAGCAGCCTGAGCAGCAAACTTCCGCTCGACCTCATCCTCAATTTCCATCTGTCCCTTGACAGCATTCTCCATCTCCTCCTCAGTAGCCTCGCGTTTGTTTCCAGTGAGTGGATCCCAAATATACCCCTCACGCAACCACATCCATCTCAAACAAGCCCGAAGCTCTTTATCTTCCGGCACAACACGTTTCCATTCAGCTTCGAAGTCCTCTTTCTGCTTGCCGTAGCCATTGTAGTCCTTTGCAAGACCACGCATGACATCTCGACAGAAAATGCGCCAGCTATCTATGGCATACCGACCACAACCCGGAATATGAGCAAGTTCAACGGCACCGGCACAGTCATCTGCATCGCCTTCGATGATTTCGTCTTTTTTGTAGTCCTTGCCATCTCCTTTGTTGGGATAATGAAGAATTCTAAACCTCTTTCCCACCACTGGAGGACATGATGCCCATGCATGGGCGATTTGCTTGATGCGTTTACATCGCTGGTTTTGAAGACCTAGGTGATGAATCATTCCCAGAAGTTCGTGCGAATCGGCTTGAGCAAGTAGATAAGGCTGAGGCCATTTCTGTCGAATTTTCCAGAAGACCGGTACAGCTGAGCGACCAGCAGTCTTGTTGAGGAATGTCACTGCGATGATGAGCCAGAAGGGTTCATTCCAGATCTTCTCTTGGATCAGGCCGAAGGACTTCTCGTTGATTGATGGGGTCGGTGCATAGGACACACCTGCAACGCGCTTCTTCCCGGTAGTGTTGAACTTATCAACTCTGTCGGTAATGAAATGCTCACTAATGGCACCCGTCGTCTTGCGTTTCTTCGTGGGGCCGCGTCGCTTCTGCGATGATGGCATAGGTGAAGTGTCTTCGCCGCGCTCACTTTTGTTAGCCACCTTTGCTGACTTGCGTCGCTTCTCAGGTGCTTCCGAGTCGCTCCCGTCATGGACAGTCTCAAGGCTGTCCTGTGCTTCCGCCGTGACATTGAAACTCTCCGGATCCGTCTCAGGCGGTTCATTCGAACTACCGCTCTTCTCAATTTCAGGCTTTGGTAGACTCTTCGTTGCTGATCGAGTAACTCCCATTCCAAGATCAACGTAGCCAATGCGATCCGGGATGTTCTCGTACGTCTTGTAGCCAATCGCGGTCGATCGTTTCCGGGCCTCTTTAGATGGCAATGATTTTGGTGACGAAAAGTGCTTGCTGGTTCTGCCTGTCATCTGCCGCTTCTTAGCCGATGCTGGCGCAGCAGGTGATGAGGTGCCATTGGCAATAGCTATAGCTTCTTGTATAGCTTCTGGTAGGACAACCTTGGGTGGAGTCGATGGAGTTCGGCCCAGCTCAGTCAACGCCGAAACTGCGCTGGATCTGGTAGGTGGACGGGCCAGAGCATTATCTTCCTCTTCGTCGACCTCGATTTCATCGCCATCGGAATCGTACATTCCGGCATCAGCGGAATCGTGGACGGAAGATTCTGTGACATTGTTGTTGATTTCCACCTCCTGAACTGCTTTCATTTTAACGTCATCGTCATCGCTATCGGATTCGGTTTCGAGATTATCCGAAGATCCTTGAGAGACATTATCGATTTTCTTTTCGGGCAGTGGTGCAGTTGACATATCTGTGCTGAGAGGTCCATCGGTATTCACGCCATTCCAAGACTCATGTTGCTCCATATTGCTGCGATCTCCTGTCAAACTTTGATTACCTCGACGCACGTCCGAGTTTGGCGGTGAAGTTGGCATACCTTGTGGCAACGGACGTGTCGACTGGAACAGGTCTTGCGCGACATTGTCAATATCGTTGTACAGCTCTTGTGTATTCTGTGTATCGCCTTGACCATAGCGATACTTTGAAAGGCCGACAGTGACAATCGCGCTTGGAGGACCTTGTTCTGTGTTCACATGCGCTTTTAAGGCCTCCTTCGACTGGGTACTACCAGCTTCTTGAGCGCTATTCTGGCTTCCACTTCTCTTGATGCCAATGTTAGCGCTTACCGACTCACTGACCGTCATATCATTGATGTCTTCCTCTTCAGCGTCGAGCACGTCGTTCTGGCCGAGCTCGTCGAAATCCGAACGCTGACTTAAATGCTCGGAGTTGTCGGCATTAGCTTGCACATGAGCAGGATCTTCTGACAAATCTGCTTCCCTTCCCGGCTGATTCGATGCTGAGTCCGATCGCCCATCAACATCGTTAAGATGCTCAGACTCGTCTTCGTTTGTTGTCGGTTCTGCATCACTCGAATCGAGCTCTGAACTCTCGTCTTCATGCGCCACATCCGGTATTGCATTGGCCTCAGTCAGCACAATCTGACCATTTTGATCGATCGTGAATTGCTGGTCTGGCAGCAGGATATCGCGATCAGAATGGTCAGCTTCGTCGTTTCCTACCGGCGGCTCTGGTTCTTGTGCCTCGGCGATATCTTTTGGGATCTCTTTGGCGTCTTCCGCGGCCTCTATTTGCTCGCTTTCAGAAGAAATAGCAAGCTCTTTAGCCCAGCTTTCCTGGAAAGATCCACGTGTTGCTAGCTTCTGCTCGAGCTCATTGTCAGTTGTACTGTTGCTCGAGCTCTCAACTTCGCTACTGCTGCTGGACTCGCTGGTCGCATCCGCTGGACGACCTCTGCTGACATTGAAGGAACGACGCAGTCTGGCCTTCGTGGCTTCGATGTTCTCATCGCCACGGTAGAGAGATACGCTGGTGATCCTGGGCTCGACGTATGGCTTGAAAGCATTGACAGGCTTGACTTTTGCTTGAAACACCCGCTGCTGAGGTGGCTCACTCGAAGCTCTTCTTGGTGGCGTGGCTTCTTCAATCCTGACAAATGCGTGGGACGGGCGGTAGAACTTCTCTAATACAGTCCGTCGTTTAGCTGGTAGCTTCCGTAATTGCAGATCATGAATGATTCGCTGTGAATATGCCTGCTGTGTGATAAATGGCCAGTCGAGCCTGTACTGCTGAGCATTCGCTTTGATGTCAAGCAAGTCCAGCACGACATCGGTATTGACAAGTGTCGCATCAACCATACGGCCGCCCATGTGCCATTGCTTTGTGGGAACTCGTGCCGACTGAGTAGTCCCTGCATGCTTGATCGAAATTGGTCGAGGTTCAGGAAGAATTTCAGGTTTGGCCTCGGCTCGAATGGCTTCAAGCTTCTCACGTTGGCGTTTTTCCTTGCGTTTGTTCTTACGCAACGCGTTACTCGGAAGCTGTTGTTCTAGTAGTGGTGCTGAAGTTGGAGCCGCCCTCGCACGTCGGAATTCTCGATCATGCTTTCGCTTGCGCTGACGTGCTGTCAGCCTCCCGTCGACTTTGCCATGCTGCTGTACTGCCTCTGCAACTGGAGCAGCAGTCGCGTCTTTTTGTTTCTTCTGCGCCTTCACACGCTTTCTTGGCCTGTCGCTGTCTTCGAGCTCATTTTGTCGAGCGCGCCGCTTCTTCGACATCTTCTCATTGATGAATGGCGTTGAGAAGCAGTCGCATTGTGCTTAATAGACAAGCATCAGGCAAAACCGTCTGAGGTGCGATCGGGATGGCGTGATCATCTGAGTGAAGGTGTCGCCGTTCGCAGGCCTTTTTGATGCGTCTCGAGACTTCTGTTGTTATCGATGTGACTGTGAGGAAGTAAATCGTTTGGCCAGAGCTCCTCAAAAGTCGAAGTCAAGCAGGCCCCACTCTGGCTTGGCACGCGTCCTGCAGGCTGCAGCGCCGTTGCCATTTCATGCACGCGTTCAAAAAAGGCAAGGCAAGAACGATCTCGAGAAGAAAATTGCTTCTGCTCTTCGGAACACATCCATCATCTTTGTCTTTCGTCGTCTAATATACATATGCTACTGTGGAGGCTATGGCTATACACAAGGCACTATTCCGCCTCATTCCAATAATGCCGACACGCGTCATGTTGCCAACACTGCCTCTGCCTCTTGCTCTGATTATAGAGAGGCGTAAGATCTATTCCAACAAAGAGAATATTTGTCCATCTGCCCTCTCTCCCTCGCTCGTATGTCAGGCGCCTGTAGGCTCCGAGCTCCGAAAACGCCTCCGCTACTGTGTATACATAATGTCGGAATCGAGGTGCACGCGTAAATTCGTAGTATCATGTGAGAAAGGATTATGACTGTTCTCAATGCCCAGTCAGCCTGTGCCTTCATCGGCAATCTAGGCTATTAGGCCTCTTCGGAGAGGATGATGAAGTGCTGTTCCCAGATCCAGCCAAGCTCGTTGGTAGGGTCGTCCTGGTTCTTCGCCAGCCAGAGCTCGCCTTTCTGCGCCACCACATCGAAGACTTCGCCTTGCACGTATTGCAAGTATGGATACCCACCCTCCTTCCTCGTCTTGTGGATGCTGAACTCGAAAAGGCTTGCGCACACAAAGAGCACCTTCATGTCGTCCGGAGCCGCTCTGCTTGGCGAAGGAGGCTTATCCTGTGCTCCGCCAAGCTCTGGCGGCAGCGCCGAATTGAACAGTCCCGAGAAGCGATGCTGCTCAATCTGGTCGGAATTATGTGCTGGTCGTGCGGTGTAGTATTTTGCATCGGAAGTCGGCCTCGTGATTCGCCCGTGCTCATTGCTGTGCTTGGGAAAGTAGCTTTGTGGTGTCATCGAAGGCGTCTCTGCAGTCGCAGGCCTTGTCGCCGAGAACGAAGAGCTCGGTGTTGCCACATTTGAGTTCGACCACGGTCGATTTGCTGACACCGCGGAACCTGGCGTTTGTGCCGCCGGCGCACGCGTCGACAAAGCAGAGTTCGACCGCAGGCGGCTGTCCGATGATAGTGGTGGCGCTTGCATTTCTGACCCGGGAGTGTAGATGCCGCTGTGGCGCCGCGTGTTCGGATTGGTGGATGACTCGCTGGTCACAGAGAGACTGCGCTTCGAGCTATCCATCGTCGTTCTTCGCTTGGCAGAAGAGGCCTCTGAATTCGTCTCAGGGTATGCAATGGTTGGCGACAGGAAATTTGCCGCCTCTATCTTGAGCGTGCCGTTGCATATCGACAGCTGATTGCATCGCTTCTCAATTTCCACAAAGTCGGGATGGAATGCGGGCTCAATTTGCTGCACACTGATCGGGATGTCTGCCGCTTCGAGCACTGGTCTTAGCTTTCTTTCCCATGTGGACTGCCACTTCATTTGGATGTCGATGAAGCAGTGAAGGCAATTCTGTACCAGCTGTGCCGTCAAGCCGTACAACTTGGGCAAGTCGAGCTTGAGCTGATCGTTCAGCGCCGTGTACATCTCGGCAGCCTCCACCGTTTTCTTATCTGGCTTCTGACCTCGTCTCTCCTCAGACTTGCATTTGGCGTAGTCGACGATCTTCTTCTTGCGCTTGTTAATCGCATTCTGCGGACCCTGGTGTAGCTTGATGCATTGGATCATCGGGGCAAGTACACGCTTTTGCACCTCTGCTTTGTGCTCGCCGAAAGCGATGAACGTGAGATCGCGGATGATCTGCCCGTACTTGCGATACTTGACCTCGATCTCAGGCAGGGCGCTTGGAGAGACGTCCGTGAAAAGCTCCAGTGCGGCCGCATAGTTGTTGACGAGTTCCACTGCCCTGTCCGTCCGATGCATGTAGTCCTGCACATCTCGCATACATATCTGCAGTCGAATGAAATGTCCTCCGAACTTATGTGCCAGCTCGTCGAAGTCAGGATCCTGGAATGCTTCAGCAATGCCAACGCGTTCTTTCAGCTTCTCCGTACGACGCCCGAATGCCTTGGCGAGGCCGCTACGTATATCAGACTCCTTTCGCTTTCCTGGGTTGACCATCTGCTCCACCAAGTCGGCACGTTTCTTGGCCTCGTTGATGCGCGTAAGCATCGCGATGGAGTCTTTTGCTGCAGCCTTCAGGTCCAAATAGTCGGGATGATCAGCCGGAGTGACATCAAGCAGTTGTTGTAGCAACATCGGATATTTGGCCACACGTTGCGTCGGCTTGACCAGTAATGAGTCCAAATCCCATGCAGAAGTAATATCGCTCGCATTGGCATGGCACTCATCGAGCCAGCACTTTACCGTTGGCGTGCTCTGAATCGCTGACAGCCTCTGATTGGCAGCTCCATGATTTCTAAGATAGGTCTGATACACTTGCTCCATTCTAGCGAGGTTGACAAGGAAGGTGCGCCCAATCGCCGTGGTTCTGTCCTTGTCGTCATCGACACCATCTGAGAAGGTGCTCGAAGTGTTGTCGCTCTGAGTGGTAGAGAAGGACCCGCGCTTGTTGAGCCAGCGGTTGTGCTTTGTAGGCACATAGACCTGCGCCGCCGCTTTCCTCATTTCATCGTAAAAGTGCAAGGCAAACTTCTCCACCTCGTCGCAATTGCCGAACAGGATCTTCTTGTCGTCAGGCGCCACGAGCTCTGGAGTACAGGTAGCCTTGTAGATGTCCTCGATGATCTTAAGATCCTGGTGGTAAGAACTTTCAGTGTCGAGCAGCTCCTTGATCGTGTGCCGTCGTTTGAGTAGCCGTTTCGTCTCTGGTCCTGGCGAAGCCGACTTCTTGGCCGACCCTGTGACACCAGTATCCATCGAAGCTTGTCTGTTCGATTCGCCGAAGGAAGTCATGGATTGGGATCCTGGCAGACCTGCAGGATTGCGTTGGCTGTCCATCGAAGGCCTGGAGCTGCCAGAAGGACCGAGCTTGTGAAATCTAGGCGACATATCGCTAGAAGCACGCTCGGAATACGCTTTGGCGCCGGCCAAGTCTGGAAGATTGAATGATGCCTTGTTTGCTGAGTCTGGCGGCGGAGCCGGAGGCGCATGTCCTGGCAAAGGAGGTGCAGAAGTAGAGTGTGGCGATTGTACCATGTCCTCTGCTTGATCAAGTCCTGCCCGGTCTGCTGCAGCATGGATGTCATCGATGTTCAACGCACCCGTTGTAGATAACCTCAGACCTGCTTCTGTGAGAGGTGTGTAAGTCGCACTCGGAGGTCCAATGCTTGATCTGGGGGTATAGCCATAATCTTTGGGAGGAGGCGGAGGCCTATCCTCATCTTCCTGCTGCGGCGCAAATGGGTCTTCTCCTCTTTGTTGGCGCTCCCAGGCTTCATCAGCCTTCCTGATCTTTGCCTCGAAGTCTTCCTCGTCCTCTGCCTCAGGTTCTGCATCATTGCCATATACAATCACTGTGCCTGGAACGAATCCGTCGTCCATTGGCGGAGTATCAGGAGTCACCGTTGGCATCTCGTACGTCTGTGGCTGCAACATCTGTTTCTCGGGAATGTGCTGCTCGGGGGGCTGGCTCAGGTCCAGTATGCTATCGAGAAGACTCTGAATCATTATTCCGTTCGAGCCACCATTCGCGCTAATTCGGTGAAGGTCGACCATGCGATGCTGCATTTGTTCAAGCATTTCTGCAGTCACAGTGCCCGTCGACCGATAGTGATCCAATACTCGGGCGATTGTGTCATCGGTCTGTGCGGTCCCCTCGTCCCCTGACGGCGCTGTACCTGAATGATGGTCGGTCGCTCGTAGGGTATCGTCGCGTGACAAGAATCTCCGTGGTGTGGTCACGATATCATCGTCAGGGTAGTCACCTGTATCAGTGGGCGACTCCACGTAACCATTGGCAGCAAACGCGTGCTGGTTGTGCTGCTGCGCGTGATAAACATCGTGCTCAGGTTGGGACAGATGCCGCTGAGATTCCTCAAAATGGTTCCTCCCCACATCCTTGGACCACGGCTCCGGATTGTGAATGTTTGGGTCATCATCGAGCATGATCCGGATTGAGCCTTGGTCTCCTCCCACGCCGTTTCCAAGACCCCACTTATCGCCCAAGTCGCTATGGCTGTCTTCAGCTGACGGACTATCGTCAGCGAATTCGGTGCCAGATCTCGACGCTGAAGATTCGCTGCGTTCTCGCATACGCATGACATTGTCAAGCACACTGGGACTTTGCACCTTCTGCGGGTGTGCATCCTTCGAGATATCAACGTCCAATGGCAATGCCTTCGCGTGGGCGGACGCAGATGTCTTACTTGGAGGCTGGTAGGTTGCGGCAGAGAGCAGCATGGGACTGTCATGCGCCGTAGTCGCAGTGGGCGGGCCGTCTACCGGACTATCGTCCTCAAACATTGTCCTATCTGTCTGGGCGGTGAGAGGTTCGTTATCGGCGTTGGAAGCTTCCAAAACCCCAGCAGTCTTCACGCTTAGGTCATGAGCATCCGTATTTATATGGGGACTTTCCCCAGGTTGCTTTTCTGCACCGGCCGTAGTTGGAGCACTATTCTCAAGCGAGGGCACTCCTGCTCTCGAAGCACTTCTTGTCTGACTGCGCGAAGCACTTCTTGACTGACTTCGTAGGCTATCTTGAGACTGAGTAGACTTTAGAGAGGCAGCGATCTTCCTCTGTATCTCATTCCTACGACCCTCGAAATCAATTTTGCCCAGTTCTGGTATCTTCCTCCTCGATCGTTCCTTTTGCGGATCATATGGTTTGCCCAGCCACTGCTCACTCGGCCGTCTGCCATCACGCGGTGTTTGCGTGTTTGGCTGAAAGCGCTCGGCGGCTCTTGCCCGGCTTGCAGAAGTTGTCGCTGCGCTGACAGGCTGTCGCGGCCGAGATGATCGAAGAGGCGGAGATGTTTTTGGCATAGGCGCAACAATCTTGGCTGAAAGAGTCTGATTTGTTGCGGTGGATATTGGTGCAGGATAGTATCGAGCTCGTGAAGCCGGTCGGGCGTTCTCTTTCCCTGTAGCGGCAGTCAATCTCGTTGGAGATTTGGATAGCTTCCGAGGGTGGCCTGCTGACATGGCCGAAGCGGGTCGTGAAGAGGTGTTGGAGTCATTCGACTGCCGGGAATTACTGATCGGTAATCGCGAAATGGGTTTTCGAGCTATTCGTGAGGCGGAGTCGGGTGGTGTTGGATACAATACTGGCGCTGCTTGCAGACCAAGATTGGGCATGCTCGGCGCCATTACCGGGCGAAATGCATCCATATCGCTGCGACTTCGTTTATGGCTAAGGTTTGGGTTGCAAGATCCAGGTGCTAGAAATGGCGTAGAGATATCTTGGTGAGAGTGTGAGCGGGCACGAAGCGCCACGCTGCCGTCACTGCCTATTCTCGGAGTCTTTTCAAAGGTCGGTAGAGGCCCGTAAATGCCTACTACGGGCACTTCGAAATTACCGTTCCACTTTCCGTCGGCCGTGATCTCTCCAAACAGAGGCGTCGCCTGTCTGCCCGGTGACTTGGTGCGTTTGGGACTGAAGGCTGCGTGAGGTTGGCTGCTTGTCGTCCTTGCCGTGCTAATGGTTGTGCCCGAGGATGAGAAGGAGCTAATCGCTTCGAATGACGTTGATGGGGACTTCTTGGACGACTTGTGTACGTGGTCCGGCCGCTTCTTCTGCAGCCGCGTTCGTTCCTTGCCTCCCTCCACGCTCGATCCGCTGGCGGGTGATTTCGGCGGCGGTGGTGCCCCAGATGTGGCACTGGCGCTGGTACCCTTGTTGGCTGCGGTGTTCGGGCGTCGGTAGCGCTCCCGGGTGGTGTTGACAGAGAGAGTTGGGTGCTCGAAGCGGCTGGCCATGTCTCTGACGGTGCTCCCACCCGGCCGCGAGGGTAGGACTGGATTGGAGCGCGCGCTGCTGAGCGTGTGTGTGCCAGGCAGAGGGCCGGAGGCGGAGCGTAGCTGGGTCCTGGACGGCGGGCGTGAGTAGGAGCGATGCTGGAGGCTGGAGTGAGTTTGGGCGCTGGGCTGAGGTGGAGTATGAGATAGAGTCGTGGTGTTGATCATGTGTACGCGTGGATCCACGTCTGCGCCTGCGCCTGCGCCTGCGCTGGTGCCCTGGTCTCCGAGCGCATGCATACGGTCGGCGGTCGCGGCAGCGCTGGCAGCAGGGCCATCCAAATCGAACCGGTCGCGGTCGGCGTGCGGCTGGTTGGTAGCGGCGGCCATGTGGATGGGCGGTGACGGCGGCGGAGGCTCACAGCGCGCGAGGGGGCAGGGTGTCGGTCATCAGTGCCAGTGTCGCTGCCGCCAGGCTCCATGCATTGCGAGAGAGTCGATTGCAGGTGTGGGAGTCGTTTAGAGTGCACTGGAAGGTTGGATTGGAGTGGCCGGGGTGCGGTGGTGCGGCTGCTGTGGAGGCGGAGGAACGCCAAAAATCTCCGACGACGCGCGACTGCACAATAATGCTGCGCTGCGCTGCGCTGCGCTGCGGAACGGTCGCCGACTCTTTCTCGCCCGCCCAGAGCCAGCAGTGATGAGGTGTCACAATATACCGACTTTATATCCCTGCGCACGGTCATCGCTGGCACTCGCGCTACTATCGTCGTCGTTCCGCGGTACTACCTCGCCATCACAGCAACGCCCTGTCCGCCCTGCACTTCTAGACTTCTCCGGAGACCGATCCGTGAAGGATCTGTCCGGGGATCATGGCCCGCGCCCGCCAGCAACCAGCAGGAGAGCACACGCACACGCACACATCAGCAAAGGGTGTGTGGTTTCTTCGCTGATGAGCTTCGCCTGCGATACTGTATACATCCCCCATCGGAAGCCAGAATGCTCGTCGGCACCACCTGCCGATTCACCCGCCGTGAGCTCGCTACGGAAGAAGGGCCACAAATGCGAAGTCCATCGACATGCCCAATCAAGCTAGAACACATCATCTGCTATCGTGACCGGGTTCTCTTCCGGCAAGGGGGAAGACACGACAGGACAGCAATAGTCTCGCGTGTGCTCCTCAAGGATTCTCTCTCAAGCACGCACGTTGCGACGATGAGATCATCTCCTTCGTACCTTGCAGCAAGTCCAACCCAAGCCAACCCATTCATGTCAGACTAATGTACCACCACGCACAGGATATCCCCGGGTGACGGGTCACGACTATCCGCCCGTACGACGTACGACATTGGTACTGTCGCGATTGCGAAATCATTGGCCGACGAAACGATCCATTTCATCAAAACATTGATGCACGATCATCTATCTCCCTGCCGATCAGGACCTGTCAACGACATGTGTACATCAGCAAGGGAGACACGGTACAACAAAAGTTGAATATCGATCAAAACAATGCTGCACAATGCGACGCTGATTCCGGATTCCCACACCTCACGATCAAGACCTGTCAGCATCATGTGCGCATCAGCAAGGGGAGACATCACGATACTTTTGTTTACTAACATTCGCGCGTGGCTGCAACAACAGAGCTGATAATGGGCCTGAAGAAGATGCGCACTGATCGCTGATGCAAGCCACTCCTCCGTACAAGCTCAGAAATTCCCCACAACTAGCACGATCGCGAACGTACATCGGAGTTGCATTGAGATGTACGAAATACATCTACGGCACTGGTTCGCCTCAAAAGAGAAGTCCATCATCTCATATCTTCAGTTTTTCAGACCACCTTCTTTCCATGGAAAGTAGGAAAGGAGAAACAACCGGGCAATGCAGTGCAATCGATGATCCGACTTACTTTCGCCATAAGGTGACCATCCATACCAATAATTAATTTTCCGCCGCTCTCACACTCGCGATCACGGACTCGCCGACGTTCGTTCTCGACCCTGTTGATGACACGTCCAATTTCATACATGGCTTTCCAGAAGTTTGCAGATCGATCGGCGTGATCGTCGGTGCTGTACTTTCCGTGTGCGTGGTTCTACAATCCGTTTCGAGGAGAGCTCATGGACTGCAGTAATCGGTCAAGGTGTATATCTGGAAGCAACGGAAAGCAGAAGCTTCCGCTGAGCACATCGACTTTGCAATGAGATCCGCCTGCACTGGCATCGAATTCAGGAGTGATCGTGAACGTCCAGACTTCGAGCTCAACCTCAAGATCTTCTCGACACTTGCTCGAACGACAGCTACGGGTGGCCGCTTCGCCGATTCTCTGCGATGCACTGCATCCGCGGCTTTGTCGATGTGCAGAGTAGCAGCAGGCCAGCAAAATACATTTTGGGAATGCGGCTTCTGGATCTGGGACGTTGCTGCCGCCTGGGCGATCCTTAAGGAGGCCGGCGAGGTCATGATGGACGGCCACCCTGGAGATGGATACCCTCCTGTTGGTAATCGTCGCTATCATGCAATTAGACCTGCGCCCGAAGAGCAGCGAGCCTTTGTGGAAGACTTCTGGTGGGTGCTGGGGGACGACAGGTCGACATATGGACCACCGCCCAAGTCGAAGCCCGTCATCTCCACCACAAATACCATGGGCTGGTCCTTGCATCATGACCAGGTCGCCTGAAAGGATGAGCTTCAGTGTTGAAGACCCACTCGTCCAGGCTGATGACATCGGGATCCGAGTAGAGCAGATAGAAATACTTCAAAGTCTCCGCAGTCCAAAAGCTCTCCATATTGTCCATAAGTGGTACGGTAGCATCTGTCACATCCTCCATAGCTGCGTGTGCATAAGCAGTCCTAGTGTGAGAGTGTATAGATCGGAACATTTTCCAGCCAACATCCTGCAGCGAAGTGTCTCCCGTGATGCGATAGAGTACAAAGACACTTTCAATAGCCTCTGGCCGAAGATGGTATTTCCGGTCCCGAATTGAAGACACTCCATATGGCAGCCGTAACTGCTTGATGAGCGTGGGGGCTTTCTTGCCACGATCATGTGTCAAGAAAGCGTCTTTGAGGATCGCTTCGTACCACGTCGGGGTGTCAAATGCACATCCATCTTGGCTCAAGCCTGGACACGGAACAAGGTTGCAGTTTTCAGGCATGACACCAGTCTGAAATTGGCTGTAAGCAAACGTACAGCCATCGGTAACTCGCCGTCCAAGATCGACATGAGTCTCATTCTCGAGCAGCCTGCCTCCTACTGCCAGCATGCCTCCAACAAAGCAGACCAGATGCTGCAGTTCTGGCTGTAGGGTGTAGCTCCCATTCTCCACATGAACAATCCCGGGCAGTAAAATCTTGTGATGCTCCTTGTTGATCATCGGACTGTAGAGCATGTATTGTGTTGCAGTAGACATGGCCCATCGATATATGCGCGCATACTGCTCCGAGCCGCCAAGCAATGCGTACATCTTTGGCAGATACTCGTACATGGAATCCGAGAAAGCGCCCAGAGAGAATGTACCGCCAGTATGAAAGTCGGCTTGCTCTCCGTTTACGCTCAGAGGCCACATACCGGGCAGCTGGCTGAGGCCCTGCTGTTGGTCGAATAGGTTCGTGATACGCGCTACAGCATCATACCACTTGTCGTCATTGGTAATCTGCGAAAGTCGAGTGAACTCCATGCACAAGGATCCGATTTCTGCAAGGATTATATGGTCCGGCGAGACTTGCTTCTCTCCTCTCGCTGCTGCGTGAAAGTCCCACCGCAGAATAGGCATCCTGTTAGGAGTGTCAAACGCAGCATATATCATGTCGGCGAGCTCCAACGCTTTGTCCAGCAGTCGTCTGTCGCCCGAGAGATCGTAGGCTGCAATGAATCCACCCATGTAGCGAATGGTAGTCTCAAAGAGGTTGATGGTCTCCATTGTTGTAGAGGTGAAGTCGATTTGCACGATGGCATTCACAGCCTCCTCGAATTGGGGCTTCATATCCATGATCCAGAGAGTGTCCAAAGAGTCAACGAGAGTGGCAGCCCAACCGCCGTACGTCGTTTTGTTCAATCCCGAAACAGGCGCTAATTCGTCCATCATCCAGGCACGTTGTCTGTAAGCTTCCCAGCTGCGCTGCATAGCGCCTTTGATCTGTGCTCTACGTTGTCTTCGCGTGGCAGAAGTAGTGGCGTTCTCTTTGCCAAAGACATGTTGAACTCTTGGCAATCTCGCCAGCAATGGTTTCGGGAGGGGGTAGTACTGGTGTACAGGATAATGCTCCTTCCTCTGGCTCCATTTGAATACAGTCTGATTGTGGACAGTATTCTGAGACAGTTTGTAGACCTCGCCTGTCGCCGGCTGTTGCCGTAGCCTCGAAGGCAGATGCAGCAAAAACAGAAGCAAAAGAGTGAACGCCACGACATACGTGACCATGCGAGTGGGAGAGAGTAGCATGTTGAGCAAATGGAAGGGCGAGGCGAGGTATGGCCAGCAAGAATGCTTGCTACGCAATAATGAGTCGTGAAATAATCAAGTAGCGTCTCCTGAAAGTTGCACTTCGCCAAGACGCTCGCCTTCAGTCGGCAAACCGATTGGTGCACGAACGCCTCGGGCCTCCGAATACGAGCTCTGCCATATGTGGCAAGAAATGCATAGAGTTCTGGCAAAGTAAGGGTAGCAGGGCCTCGGGGTCGATGTGCAACTGAGAAATGGTAATTGAGAGAGCGCGAGAGGAAAGAAAGGTCTTCACCAGTGCTTCGGGAATCGGGAGGAGCTGTTCTGAGGGAGGTCTTGGCACGATCCATCATTGGACTTGCTCCACTTTGCGCTAAGGAATGTTCATCTTGGCAGTGGATTTGGCTGCACGCTGCGCCGCTAGCACTAGCTCCCGCTGCTAGGGTCAGAGATGGCAACTACGGCGAGGCGAGGCGAGGCAAGGCGAGGCGAGGCGAACCGATGCGTTATCTTCGCTATATCGAAGGTCTCTATATATATATCGATAGTTCTAACAACTAATTATCTTAGTATCTTAACTCTTACGACACTACTTTTATTTAGTACAAAGCCCGCAACACGTCTTAATTTACCGTATAATACCGACAAAGCTAACAAACACAATGCAAAAAACTCTAACGTCTAGCCTTAAGGTATAGCAAGCACTAGGAGAAGTAAGAATAATAACAGACTTTTTATAACTATATAAAAGAGCTTGCCTTGCCTTACTTCTACTACTAATCTCTACGCCTAGTAAGACTTCTATAATCTAAGTTTGTCCCGAAGACGTTACGAAGACATTATACTCTTTATATACCTTATACGCTAAGACCGTTACCGCTAGAAGGTTTTTTGCTATAATAGATTAGGTAGACTGTAGACGGTTAATTTATATAATATTAGGGTAAGGAGAGAGAAGAAGGATTTCATTCTTTTAGAGGGGAGAGGTAAGTGTTATTTTCGAATTTTGAATTTTTTCTTAAATAATAGTCCTGGATTCGGATGTGTCCCAGCTAATTAATATATATATACACACAGCAAGACAGAAACGAACTTCCTGAACAGGAAACAGGCCGTGTGCGATTCGGCTTTTAGACATCTTTTCAAGCATTGATCTACATACAAGACTTGTCACACAGAAGGCACGTAGAAGTCCTCGGACGCATATATAGATGTTCGTGGGGTAATCGGCAGACACATGTCGGAGCTGTGTGATATAATTCGGCCCAGCCTATCCAATGATCTGCCAGGCTTTTAGACTACTGATTCACTCCTTCAGCCGCGGGCGTCCCGTACGACCAACAATTGAGCAGCGATGGGATGACCACGCGTGCGTGGCCGAGCGTCTTTCACTTCATGTCATGTCATTTCGAGTCGGTTAGTGCAAGCTGTATGGTATCATTCAAGGACTCTCAGTTGTGAAGAGGATGGTAGCAGACATGAAATCTGCACGAATCAAGTCACAGTCGATATCGCGACTTGACTATTTGAACTGTACAAGGTCAGCGGCGTATCAACGGAGTGTGTAATGAAGATGAAAATGAGAAGGCACGATCAAGTCTGCTCAAATGTCAATGCTGTCGTCGTCGCCGCGCTTTCACGCGCAAATATATTTACTTGTTATGCGTCTTTCCAACAATACAAGTTGGCAATGACTATTACAGTTATGCTCATCCGTATCTCGTGACCCATCAAGTCTTGAATGCGTGCTAACAATCAACAGGCGTAATGCAATCATCGAAAACCACCTTCATCCTTCTCTTGTCAAAGCGAAACATCCTCTCTTCACAGAGCCAGACCGAAGACTGCCAACAGTCCAGTCACAAAGATGCCAGTGCCGTAGTTCTGGGCAGCGTGCATGGCAACAGCAGCGCTAGATCCAGTGGCCGACGAAGCGGCACCGGAGGAAGAGGCAGTTGCGGTGGCGGTGGTGGCGGGTTTGGAGGTCCCGCTTGATGATGCAGTGGCGCTGGAGGATGCGGAGGTCGAGCTCGCAGTAGCGGCCTTCACAGTCTGTTTACCGCAGGTGACTGACTGGCAACCAGTAATGGCGTCTAGGTCGTTCGGATTGCTATCCACGCAGTTGGCTTTCCACTGCTCGCAGACGTAGAAGGGCAGAGTGGATTGGTAGTCAGAGATGTTGGGCTTGTTGCCATTGGAGCAAGTGCAGACGTAAGTCAATTGGTTCTGTGAAAAGTGGTCAGCATGATAATTCAACAGGTATGGCGTGGAATGTGGAGACTTACTGGATCGCACGTGTTGGGGCTGGCAGTACCGCCGCAGAGGATGGGGCAGTTGTAAGTCTGCGCTCGACACCACGTCTGTCGCAGCGAATCGGCGACCTGGCTGGGGTTGATGGTGAGAGGGCCGGAAGTCGAGTAGTTCTGAGCGCTGACGGCGGCAGAGAGAGCCGTCACGGCGAGGAGAAGGGCGGAGGAGAACATGGTGATGGGGCGTGGATGTGGTGGATGTGGTTGGCAAGATGGATCTGCAGCGTGTGAAGGGCGTCAGCAAACATGGACATGGCATGGCGTGAAAGTCAGGCCAACGTGGGGCGAGGCACGCACTGTTTGTGGAAGTGCTCTGAGCGTGCGTGCTAAGCAATAGATGCTAATCAAGCTGGACGTGTTCGCTGGAGATGCTGTGCAGCTCGTGGATGAGGTTGCGAGCAGGACGAGGGAGGATGGGATGGCGGTTGGAGGTGGCAGGCGACGCCTGCCAGCTTTATCTGCGCGGCAACGAGATGGCATGGCATGGCATGGCATGGCAGAAAGTGCGATGTCCGTGCTTCGGTGCAAGCTTCCAAGCCAACGCTGCTTTATTGGCGCCGGGCGACGGCAGGATCCTGACAGAACTCTACATTTTTGATTGCGCCTATACACATGTACTGCACCACCTCGGTCCTACTGCTGCCTGTTGTGGGCGAGCGATGATTTTGTCGCGACTACTCCTTCCCGGCAATGGCTCACACTGTCGTTGTCAATGTGCGAGCCGACGCGGGGCGGCTCTGTGCTGCAGATCTGGTGTCCGCGGCGTGAGAGGTGTAGGAAAGCCAAACTGCATCGGGGTGCGCTACCTGCGTCAGTACGTGCAAGTGCAACCACCTGATTGGCCCAAGGTCTCACGGCAACCACAACCACCTCACTTTTGAATGGAAAGTGGAAAGCAGGAACTCGACCATCGGCAGTGAGGCAGGCAGGCACAAATTGCTGGAGCTACGCTAGTCCTATCGCCATCGGATATGATATGCCCACGAGCTCAGAGCCGCATCTGCAGGTCTGCATTGCTGCGAGTGCGATTCCTGGTCGTCGCCATGGTTCCTGCGTCGGTCACGCTCTGTGTTCGCCGGCAGTCGGCGACCCGGCCCGGCCAACATGCATGCTGCGGCATTGCTGCCGAGTTGATGAGAGGCCATAGCGCCGCCATTATCATGTGTTTGCTTTGCAGTCTTGCCGACACGCATGCAGGGAAGGGCAGCAATCACATGCTGACTGCCTGATAGACGTCGAGAAGTGAAGTCAGGCAAGGCTTGTACTAAGCTCATCGTCGCTCCTTCCAACTGGCGACGCTGGTGACCGGCCCCACATCGCTCGACCACCTGTCCATGCCCGTATCCATTTCCTTTTGCCACCCCTGCCACCGACAAAACATCGTGGAAGCATTCAACAATCAACATGACTCGGAAATGTGTCCTCGCGACCACACAGCTGAATCAATGGGTGCTCGACTATGACGGCAACCGAGATCGCATCATTGAAGCTATCAAAATCGCCAAGAGGAAAGGCGCGAGGCTGATCCTGACACCCGAGCTCTGCATTCCTGGCTATGGTCTCCTCGACCATTTTCTCGAAAAAGATGTCTACTCGCATTCTTGGGACGTGACATGCGAAATCATCTCCCACCCACACTGCCAAGACATCATCATCGATCTCGGGCTGCCCATTTCGCATCGAGGATCAACGTACAATGCGCGGGTCATCGCACTCAATGGCAAAGTCCTTGCCATCAGACCGAAGCTGGACCTCTGCAACGATGGCAATTTCCGGGAGATGCGATATTTCACAGCCTGGCCGAGAGGTCGAGTCGAGGACTATCGCTTGCCAGAAAGCATTACGCGACTCCAAAATCAGAAGACAGCACGCATAGGCGAGATCCTGTTCGAGACGTTGGACGCCTCTTTCGCTTCGGAAACATGCGAGGAGTTGTGGACCCCGAACTCGCCTCACTCAAAATACTCCCTCGCAGGCATCGACATCGTGCTGAACTCCAGCGGCAGCCATCACGAGCTTCGTAAGCTTGACACACGTATCAACCTGATGCTGGAAGCCACGGCGAAGACTGGTGGAGTCTATATGTATTCGAACCAGCGAGGCTGTGACGGCGATCGCCTCTACTATGATGGTTGTGCGATGATCATGAATTCGGGCAACATCTTGGCACAAGGTTCGCAATTTTCTCTGCAGGATGTAGAGGTTCAAGCGGCTGTCGTCGATCTCGACGAAATTTGGCCATTCAGGACCTCACGAAGCCGAGGTGTGCAAGCACAGGCTGACGACGTGCACCGCCTGGAGAGAATAGCAGTGGATTTTCAACTCTGCAGCCACTCATCCACTCTGCGAGTTAAGAGAACTTCAATAGTACAGCCTCGCTATCATCTGCCGGAAGAAGAGATTGCACTAGGCCCTGCCTGCTGGATCTGGGATTATCTGCGTCGCTCAAACCAGGCCGGCTATCTCATTCCGCTCAGCGGCGGCATTGACAGCTGTGCCACTGCAACGATTGTCTTTAGCATGTGCCGCATGGTTGTCGCGGAAATCAAGAACGGCAACCAAGAGGTCATCAAAGACGCAACGCGCTTATGCAACGGCAAAGACGTGAAGAGTTTGACTGCTCAGCAATTCTGCAACCAGATCTTCGTCACCACCTTCATGGGCATGAAACAGCAGTCTTCGAAGGAGACTCGTACAAGAGCCAGGGAACTTGCTCAGGCAATTGGCGCTCACCATATTGACACCAATATTGACGATATGGTGGCTTCATTGCACGGCACAGTCACAGGTGTCCTAGGGAAGGAGCCGCACTTCAAGGTGAGTTGTCCAGCATGTCCGCATCGACTCCGTCTTGCAACATGAGCCATGCAGACCGCGTCGCACCTCGCAAGTCCACATTCGTCCCTCGTGGCGGAGTGGCTAGAATGGAGCACTTACTGACCTATGTCCCGCAGGTGCACGGCGGCAGCCAAACCGAAAACCTCGCCCTGCAGAACTTCCAGTCAAGGTCCCGAATGGTGCTAGCATACGCACTCGCTCAACTAAACCCATGGTCACGAGGCAAGCCCGGCTCACTACTTGTCCTCGGCTCCGCCAACGTCGACGAGTGTCTTCGCGGCTACCTCACAAAATACGACTGCAGCTCCGCCGACATCAACCCCATCGGCGGAATTTCCAAAACCGACCTCAAACGCTTCATCAAATGGGCCGAACACAGTTTCCAGCTTCCCATCCTCCAAGAATTCCTGGACGCAGTCCCCACCGCAGAACTCGAACCCATTACCGAAACCTATGTCCAATCCGACGAAGCAGATATGGGTTTCACATACGACGAGCTCTCCATCCTCGGTCGTCTACGTAAGACCTTCAAATTGGGCTATGTGGGCATGTTTGAGCGTCTCGTTGAAGAGTGGAGTGAGAGGAAACCTAGGGAGGTGTACGAGAAAGTCAGAAACTTCATGTTCTACTATGCCATCAATCGACACAAGATGACCACGATGACTCCCGGACTCTACCTAGAGTCCTACACCCCAGACGACAACCGCTTTGATTTGCGGCCCTTCCTATACCCGAGATTCAATTTCGAGCACCGCAAGATCGAAAACTTGTTGAGGAAAATGGAGGAGGGCGATGCGGGTCAGGAGTGAAAAAGAAAATTGTGGTCGACCAAATGGAATTAGAAAGGTTTGCAAGGCTTATTAGAACCTTCCGTCTCTCAGATGCAAAATTTTGACCGAGTGCTCTCATAGAAACGAAACCTCAACTCCTCCTAGAGATAGATCACTTGGCAGGAAACAAACCAACTTCTTATGTGAACGAACATATAAGCAACTCTGAACACCCTTCCAATTCTTTTTTTTTTCTTCCCGGCCGGACACGACTCTCATCACAGAGTCGAGATTGCTACTTACGCGGGAATTCTGTTAAAAAAAAAGAAGAAAAAAAGCAAAACTTATCTTCCGCAATGCCTTCCATGTTCCTTCGTGTGGTGGATAGGAGGAAGAGAGAGAGAGAGAGAGAGAGAGAGAGAGAGAGAGAGAGAGAGAGAGAGAGAGAGAGAGAGAGAGAGAGCCTAGAGATAGGTATATCTTCAATTCGACGTGTTATATAAGTCTGAATTTTGACGCTGTTGGATGTTTTGCAGTGCTATGATGGTGAATTTGACGACAGCTTCGAGGTCAACGGCCTTGATGCCCTGGATTGAAACCCATCGTTTCCGATTCGAATTGATCCTCGTATCGTACGGCGAAAGGTTCAATGTCAAGATTCGTACAGGAGCGACTGTTGTGATCTTTATGCAATAACATGGTCCGCCTTGACCTCATTTGGTATGCTTTGTTCTGCCCGCTAGCTAGCATGAACACCTTGTTCCCAAGTTAGGAGGAAAGTGCTCTTAAGGCAATTTTTTTTGGAAAAAAAAACCATAGGAGATGATCTCCGTAGGAGGCGTAATCGCTGCCATGTAACATCTCACAACCTTCATGACATTGCCATTGTATCATATATCTCATCCGTTCCTCTAAACGTCCTACCCTTCCCATCACCCATAATCTATCCCTCCCCTCATCCTCCTCCTCCCTCCCATCATCACCCTCATCCCACGCCTACTAATCACTTCCCACTATCCCCCTTAAACGTACTAAACACCCCACCATCAAATCAGCACAGGTCACTCTCCTCTCTCACACACCCATCATCCCACGTATGCATACATACCTATTAAAAAACTTCGCCACCATCCCCCCAGCCGGCTTCGCACTCATATCCTTTAAACTCTCTCGTCGCGCTTGCGAAGCCGGTCCATCATTTCTTTTATACTGTTCCAAGCCCGCAAACATTTTCCCTGGCTGTTTGTGCCCGAAGTCTTGGGAGCCGGATTTGGGGATTTGGTTGGGTTGAGGACCGGAAGAAGACATGGTGAATGGTTGGGATTGTGGTGTGTGGGGGTTTGGAGGTGTGAATTGATGAAGGAAAAGAGAAGAGAGGGTTCAATGAATGAAGCTGGCTCATTTCTGAGGATATCTATTGGAGTTGTGAGGATCGTACTACCGAAAGACTCATCATCCACCTCATCATCATTCCTACCTAGAGACTCATTGGAAGATCTCGCCCATCGATCCTGCACCGAGACTGATCGACGGAGCTTAATTGGTCAGTCGTGCATTTATTAGCGGCCGCACACATGCAATGAAGATCTCACCGATCTGAAGGTTTTTTACGTGTCGACCTCTTGACTATGGTGACAAAGATGCCAGACTTTCGATGCGCTATTTCTTCCGAGTAGGTTTTGACAGGCTTCTGGAAATGATCTGGCAGTCTTGAACCAGATGGTGGGGTGCATTCAAGTACGTGTGTATATGTTTTGGCGGAGATGAAAGACGTCATCTTGGTTCGTGAAACGAGGCTGAAGGGTCCAGCCGAACGGTGGAGGTGGATCAATGCGGCTGGCGGTTGCTCTCCCGTCGTCATCGATATGCTGACACAATCTTGGTGGATCGTGGGGTGAGGAGCGCGTTGCCTGGTTTGAGCTGCATATAGCTCAGGTGAACGCCGTGAATTCACCAGACGCAGAAGCAGTCGATCTTGAGCCGGGGCATTTTTCGATCACAATTTAGACAGGTACTCAGTTGCATAGAGCATGATTGCAGCACCTGACGAGTTGCATTGATTAGCTGGAAAGCTACAGGAAGGCCGCTTTCTGGGCATGGCAAACTTGGACACGAAAGTCAGTGTAGCTTTCTCATCTGCATGTATGTATTCAGGCGGTGCACGAAGTCCGGCCTCACCACCAGAGCTTGATAGGCAAGAGGTCTTTTGCACCTTGAGGATGTTATCGTCAAGCATATTTGTCAGACATCTAGGCCGTAAGTGAATTCACTTGGCATACAAGATCTCATCCATCCGGAAATCTACTATTTCGGCCGGTAGAGAGCTTCGACCATTCAACATCGGCGCAGCTCAAGAACACACCCTTGGTGAATCATAAAATACTTGGCTCCAGTCTCTATGCACAATTCTGTATCCAACGCAAACCCCCAGGGCCACGATCGAGCCCAAGTCCTATCCCCAAGGACAGATCATCGAAAATATTCCATGGTATCGCAGACAATCTAGCTCGCACGAGCTACCTTACGCCATCCTCGGATTGTTTCTAAGCGGTACACTTGACAACGCCTAGCCCGATGCCTCAATACTCAAACAACAATGTCTAATCTTGTAGCCGTGAATCACCTCTTGCGATGATTTTCGCGACGGACGTCCTAAAGCTCCCTCGTCGACTTGTGTGTTCCCGAGCGGCGCGGACATAGGGGCATTGTACTGTAGATGGCTCGTATCTACCTGGGCGACGGGTCAGTCGATGGGTATCGTGTGTTTCGCTTCAATGAGCTTCGGTGGTAGACATCGCGTCGGAATTTCGTGCAGATCAGGCTATGAGTAGGTTATAAAGTCCTCTTACGCGACGCTGCGGGTGGTGCTGAAATCGCATGGTAGAAGGGAGGATATCGTGGTCGAGTAGGTTGCTTGCTTGCCAAGCAAATACAATGCGTACTTTTGAGACCGGCTACGCACCCGACAACAACATCAACATGTCATTCATTTTCTATCAACACTCTGCCATGATTTGACTACGGAAGATGCAGGACCGGAGCTCGAGAGAAGTAGAGAATCGTTACAGCTTACGGAGGAGCTACGGTCAACAAGTCTCTTAAGAGCTACCCGTTTCTCTCAAAATGAATCCCTCTCAACGACTCAACATATGCGTGTAAATAATTCTATTCCTTCCCGATCTAACATATCATCCTATCTACAACTTCCCTACCACCTTCTTCCCCCCATTCCTCCCCGCCGAATTCCTCTCCGCCGAAAGCGCAAAACAAACATGATGACTAAGCGCCACCATCTCACCCTTCTCATCCATAACAATAATCTCCAAATCATACCTCCCATTCCTAATAACCTTCGTCTGCAACCTCGTAAACAGAAACTTCGCCCCTCCTTCGGGCAAAACTTTTTTCACTTCCAAATTCAGCAGCAAAGTCGGATACCAAAACGGGACACGATTTCTGGTAAATTTCCTGTACTCTTGAACGGAAGGGAAGTTTTCGATAACACGAGGATCGTATTGGTTTTGATGTTCTTGGCCTTCGAGGACGAAGGTTTCGCAGACTTGAGGGAACATGTCGACTAAGAAGCCGAGTTTCTCGTTCGTCCAGGTTTCGGAAGGATCGCGGAGACATGTCCACATATCGTAGATGTTTTGTCTGGGTTGACCGTCACGGGGGAACCAGGCTCGGAGTTGTCGCGTGGCTTTTCTGAAAGCTGAATTCGGCCATTCGTGGAGTTCAGACCATTTTGGGTCTTGGCCTTTTTCGAGGGCAGAGAGAGGGGAGGTTAACGGTATGCGCTCGGGATGGGCTGTCCAGTGCGTGTCGAAGGAAACGCCCACTTCTTTCGAGAGGTTGGAGTTTGTGATGTAGCTTTTGCGGTGAGGAGTTGAGTTAGCATGTCGAAGTCGACAGCGGAGGGGCGACGGGATGAGTAGTTTGAGGAGTCATAGTCGAAGTCTAGAGAGTGTTTGGATAGAGAGGAAGAAGGAGTGTGTTGAGGACGTGGAGTTGAGGGAGAGGAAGGGCTCTTACCCAACAACTTCTTCACGCCCATCTTGAGAGAGTGTGATGTGGACGACTGACGTCTGTCGGCCGAGCTTGACATCTTGGATGGAGATCTTGACAGGACCTGTTTGGGTTCTGCGAAGGAAGTCTAGATGAAGTGCAAGAGTGTGTGGTTGGTCTTGCTTGGCGAGAGTGGTATCGAAGTGTTTCTTGACTGCTCTCTGGTTTGACGAGAAAAAGGGCAGAGGTGTCAGTCTGTTTAAGTAGACCCTTTCACGTGCGAGATCGAGTTGTGGGACACACTTACTTGCACCGTTGCAGTGACATACCCCCCATGTGGAACTGTAGACCCACGCTTGTCAGAAAAGTCGCGAAGAACCGCCGACGAACTCGAGAACGTTATCCGGAAAGATGGTGGAAGAGAGTGGAAGCAGATAGGCCGGAGAACAAGACTAAGGCTGCATGGACGTTTCAAGGCTGCGACTGACCTGCTCCTATACACCAATCGTCCTTGAAATCTGCTGCGTATGTGTGGGAATCCACCTGTTGGACTGCTGTCGCTCGTTCGAATGCCATCTTGGGTGATGTGCCGTGGTCCTGGATCCGTCGGGCTTGAGGCGCTCAGTCAACAGATATCCCAGATCTGGGTATCATCTGGTAAGCTGTATCGTTGTAAATTCTTTGATCACTTTCGAGATGGATGAAGTTGATGTCGAGCTTCGGTTGTTGCTCAGTGCCTGCCTCGGCAGAATCGGATTCGGCTCGCGCCGGCTCCTCAGGCCTCCCTTCAAGTTCCTTTCCCATAACCATATCCTCATACACTCCCTCATTCAGCAGCCAGAAAAACAAACAATGCATCTCCTCTCCGCCATCTCCTCCCCATCATACGACTCCATACTCTCGCAGCAGACACAGCGTGCACAGTTTCATCAAGAACCACATTTCTCCAAGACAGACCGGCATCTCCAGAAGGAGTAACCCGTGAAAAACACCAGCATCCGTCGAGCGGTACGAGTTGACTTCAAGACTACGGTCACCGAAAAAGTACTGCGCACGCTGTCTGACTTTCATCATTATTGGTGCTGACTTGGCGGCAACCAACGGATGTCTACGTCTACGTAGATAAGTCGCCGAAGATGAGAGCTGGGGCACCGAAAACGTACCGGAAAACTCGCATTGCATAAGTGTGAACGATGTAAGTACATATGTAACTTTTGGTCTGCTATTTATCATACTTCTACGTCATGCCCGTCGCTATACATTTACAGATACTTGTTTTCCTTGAGCCATGCAGTGACGGACGCAGAATCACGCTCCAGCCAGCCGATCTTGGCCTTGACGGCATCGTTGGACTGCGCCAAGTTGCGATCGAAACCCTTGGTGCTCCTGCCCTCGAAGAACTTGTTGACGTCGTCGAGCTGCTCCTGCTTGGTGAAGGAGGATGTTGCCATAGAGACAACTGAGCCCAGCAGAGTGAATGAAGGTGGCAGCTTCTGCCTGAGGGTGTCCCAATTCTCCTTCATCCACGCCCAGAATGCTTCGATGCCCTCACGATGAGCCCGAAGTCCGGCAAGAGGCAGGTAAATGTCTTGCTCCTTGACGTGCTTGCTGAGAGAGTAGGCCAGGGTGCGTTGGATCAGTTCAGGGTCACGAGCGCGACCAAGCGAGCGAAGCGCAGCGTTGCGCTCATCACTTGACGAGGCAGTCTCGTACTCTTTTACGAGTGCATCGTATTCCTTCTTGCCTCCGTTGGAGAGGACGACACCATAGACCGAGGAGCGGAGATTGGGGTGAATGGCAGCACGATCGCCGGCGACGAACTTCTCGAACATGTCGAAAGCGGCCTTCTTAGTCTTCTCATCACCTGCAGAGGCGGCGGTGCCTGCGGAGAAGATTAGCTTGCGTTTATCTTATCGTTCGGAGATCACAACTTACCAAACATCAAGGACTTGAACTGCTGCTCGATGTGGCCGTCCTTATCACTGAACTCCCAGCCAAGCTCGTGCGCCTTCTTGCTATACAAGTCGCGCGCAAACGCTTTGAGGGCGTCCTTGACCTTTTGGTCCTCGAAAATCCATGCAGATCTGACCGAGCCTACACGAGCAGCAAGTTCATCCCATACGACAAAGTCAGGTTCGGTGTCAAAGCCCTTGACCAACGAAAGCAGACCATCCGTCTTCTGGTAGCCAGCAGCGGACAGCGCACCCGCATCTGCGATCATGCCAGCTCGATCCTCTACGGTCAGCAGGCCAGCCTTAGCGTTCTCACCCAGCTTCTTGAGTCGCTCTGGCTGGTACGAAGTGCGGTAAATACCAGAGTGGTCAGCGTTCAGCTTGAAGAAGTCAAGGTCTGGGACCTTGAAGTCGCTCTCGCGCTGGTTCAGAGTGAGCTCCTCGTCCACGCCCTTCTTAGTACGGAGGCCGAGAAACACCGGATAGAGAACCTGGTCTTCCTCTGGCTTGACATCAGCTGTTCTCAGGAACCGATTCTGCTTAACGTGGATGGAGCTGTTCTTGGCGTCTTCGGTCACAGTGACGACCGGAAAGCCGATGTTCTTCGTCCAGATGTCGGCAACGCGCTCCACATCTTTCCCGCTAGCGTCACTAAGCGCTGCCCAGAGATCGCCTGTGGTGGTGTTGCCGTATGCGTGCTTCTTGAGGTACCGTCTTATGCCCTCCATGAAGACACTCTCGCCGAGGTGCTTAGAAATCATGCGCAGGACACACGAACCCTTGGAGTAGGAGATAGCATCGAAGATCTGGTTGATTTCATCAGCCCGCTTGACGGGCACCTCGATCGGATGAGAGCTTCGCAGCGAGTCAAGGCCAAGGGCGGATTGGAGATTGTCTGTGACGTAGCCTTCCCAGACCTTCCATTCTGGATAGAAGATGTTACAGCTGTACCAGGACATCCAGGTAGCGAAGCCTTCGTTCAACCACAGGCCATCCCAGAAGTCCATGGTCACCAAGTTGCCGAACCACTGGTGAGCAAGCTCGTGCTGAACGACTTCTGCGACACGTTGCTTTGTCGATGCACTGACATTCTTCTCGTCAAGCAGGAGATCTACTACACGATAGGTGACCAGGCCCCAGTTCTCCATAGCGCCTGCCGAGAAATCCGGAATGGCTACCATGTCCATCTTTGGAAGCGGGAATGCGCTGTCGAATTGTTCTTCGTAGAATTTCAGCGTCCGGGCTGCTAGATCCGCGGAGAAGTGGCCATGTGTGATGTCCTTGTCTGGGGTGCAGAAAACGCGCACTGGAACACGGAAAGAGTTTATCTCATGCACTTGCAGCTCACCGACGATGAATGCCAGCAGGTAAGTGGACATGAGCGGTGTCTTGTTGAACGTGACGGCCTTTCGACCGTTGTCCATCTCCTTCTCGTTGGCGACATCCATGTTACTAAGACAAGTAAGCTTCTTGTCCGCAACTAATGTCACAGTGAAGGTGGCCTTCAGTGCTGGCTCGTCGAAGCATGGGAACGCCCTCCGACAGTCGGTAGGCTCCATTTGTGTTGTTGCGATGTATGCATCCTTGCCGTCGGCTCCCTTGTAGGATGATCGGTAGAAGCCAGCCATATTGTCGTTCAGTGTGCCGATGAACTTTTGAACGAGAGTCACCTTGCTGTTTGCGGGCACGGTATGGTGAAGGTCGATCTTGGTCGTTTGCGAGTCTTCGTCATGACTGAGAGTTGGCGAGGCGGCGATGACGCTGCCATCTGAGGTCTTGACAAGCTTCGTCTCTGTGATGTCCAGCTCTAGAGCGTTCACCGATATCGACTCGGTGTCCTCGACTACGGCCAGCTCGATCTCCACCGTGCCGGTGTACTTGAAGCTCTTGAAGTCAGGATCAAGTGTGACATTGTAGTGCAGCGGCTTGACGTTCTTTGGCAGCACTTCTCTGCCTTTACTGATGTCCATGTTGGCATCGGCGCCTTCCGCCTCCCGTCTGCACATGTTGTGTCGTCTGCTCGAGCAATGCCTGCGGGATGTCTGTATGTGTCGATGTGTTTGTGTTTGTGAGGGCAGAGAGCGAGATGTGGTGTTTATGGGAGCAATGCGTCGAGCGGAAGTGGCGAGGCTCCGCGCATGTGATTGCCAAATGGTCGTGTGCGGGCGAAGGTGAAGGTGCGAGGGCGGTTGGAGGATGGTGGCCGTGACCGTGGCCGTGGGCGTGGCCGTGGGATGGCTGTGAGCAAGGGTCTTGGTTGTGGGTGCCCGCCTGCAGCGAAAGGAGCGTAGCACTGGCTGCATCCCAAGGAATGAATCTGAGCGTGGATCTGCTTCGTCGCATGCTACTGCCAGTGCTCGGCTAGAACAAAGGATCTGCGAGGCTTGGTTGTTCAAGCTCCAGCTCCAGCGAGATGAGATGACATCGATCTCTCCCGAGACGCCGCAAGCAGTTTCTTCTTCCTTCACCAACACGCCGCCATCACATGCAAACCCCTCGATCACATGAACGACCAAATCACAGAAGCACGCAGCATTCTGTGCGTCTCGCCGGAAACATACATTTCACTGTTCTCTTGGATCTGAGCATCGAAAGGAGTGCATCAGTCCGCGCAAGCATTCGCGAGACAACGAGAAAGAGGTAGTTCATGGGCAAAAGCAGGCCACATCCTGACAATCATAAGTTCTTGGGCCGAGAAGGCTCGAGATGGCATTATAGAGCTACGGACGTGGTTGTCATCACATTCAACGAGCGAAGGTATCCATTTTGTTCTCCTCAGAGTAATGAGGCATTTCCAATGATGCTACGCCCTCTTTCTCCGCCAAAAGAAAAAAAAAGATATACGCAAGTCAGTCCTCTCAGGAAGATCTCCATGCGAGCTTACTGGTGTTTGGCTACACGCCATACCTTGCAAGAACAAATCTTCCACGTTGTTTGAGGTGCTCATGATCTGCTGATTGAGTGGCCATAGTTTCAGTGGAACAGCGAATCGAGTCTCTTGCTGAGCATGAGAGCTGAAAGTCTAACGTGGCCATGAGCAAAAAACCACAATGCTCGCCATGTCTATTTGAGCCCTACATATGCTAAGATGCGCTTCTTACACGGATCCAAACAAACCTACGTGCGACATTTGGGTATTCACCATATTTGGGTATTCATAATACTTGACCATTCCAGACATACGCTGGACCGCTGACAAGGCACTGCGGCGGAGCCCAGGTCATCTCTCCTTTGGTTCTGAGACTTGCATACATCTGTTTCGAGCACTTCTACCTGGACTTACTTATCCATTCTCATGTTGGCAGAACTCTCATCCATCCACTACCCGGTGAGCTTACTCATTATATCCAATTACACTATGTCCACTTACGCGCTTTCTATATTCACATGCATTGGCATTCACTCTCTATCATTTGCACCTCAGGCGACCCAGGACCCCTGTGTTTACCTTCATGAGCACATAGTACACTGAGGGCCACAATGACATTGTCTTTCAGTGCATTTCACTTGCTCGAATTTTCTATCTTCGCGCTTGAAGGCAATTCTATCTATCACGCACTGGCGAAACACATCGTTGGCGACTGCGCAGCATACGGATCTACCAAAACACAGTGCTGAGATGGGCGATCAGTGTGTATGCGGACACAACCCACGCTCTACATTCCGAATATCTCCAACGTGCGCAGGACTGCCTTTACACCACGCGCTATCCGCTCTTTACAGCGCTCGAGTGTCCAGACTTCTTGCCCTGCAGCGGTTCATTCTGGGCCATTGCTGCAGCGCTCCACATTGAGCTTCGTGTCTTCGACAATGTACAGCGTGACCGAGGCGCTAGGACATGCACATTGAGTAATCCTCGTGCCACATTTGGCTCCCCCAGCGCACCGTCTTTTGCGATCCTGCCATCGTTCGGCAGAATCGGTATGGCCGCAAGGTCCTCCGCGCTGGTACCCGACGTGACCGGCCGAGAACTCGTGGAATACTTGGAGAGACAAGAGCAGATTTGCACTACCGTTGACAGCGATGGTGAAGCGAAGTCAATAGCGTCTGAACTTCGTTTGAGAAAAGTGGCCTGGGCTGTACAGCACGACGTGTCTGGGCAGATGCATGTCGATTGCGTCAACGGATTTCGCACAGATACCAAGAGAGCTTTTGGCATCGATCGGGGCATTCATCAACACCATACCTACCAGATATTCGTCCGTCCCGTAGTAGACAAAGGCCAGACTGCATACAAATGGACGTAGCCGGCATTGAGCATTCCTTGTGCCTAAGCAAGCTGCAGACACCGACTGCTGGCATATCCTCGCAACGCTCTTCCTCCATATCCATTTCAGTGCAGTCTTGAATTCTGCAATATGCTTACCAAGTCACTAGCTACCCTCTATACTCTCGTCTATCATTCACTTTCCAACAGGTTTTGCCTTACGCAACATGAAAGGCCTTTTATTTACACCCGTCAGCACTCGACGCGTTGGTGGATTTTCACTTGGGACAATTCACTTTCAGGTCTCCAGGCTAATGCAGCGCACCTCTGCCTGGCCTAGATGGCAGCACCCTTCTCCACTGTCAGATCTGCTCGCAGCCCTGCATCGCCATTTGTCTGTTGCACGACATGGCAGACAGATCGCCACAAGTACAACGGTGCGGCTCGGAGGGCAATGAGAACACAGTGGTGCCCAGCTCTTCACATGTTCCACCGAAGAACTGGAGTCTAGTCAACTCTCCTCCACTATTGCAGCCTTTGCGAACGGACAGTGTCACTGACTGCACTGATACCTTCCCAATCGAAGAACTCACCCTCGAGTCGGGGATTGACGTCTCTCGCACGCGAGAAGAGAGGCATTCCGAAGTCGAGCCGCCTCCAGCGCCACTCAGAGATAGTATCTCAATTCGTCTGGACGGGACAGCCTCTTCTTTCGTACCTTGACTAGCAGCACCCAGGACTAATTCTCAGCATACGCCGTCTCCAGTGAGAAGTTCGCCCAAGTACTACAATGCATTTGAACAGGACCATGGAACCTCCCGGGGAAAAGACTCAGTTCACGGCGATTCGCTGTACCGCTGCTTGGCCAAGATACTGATAGGAGATTACCAAGCATATGGCTGTATAAGCGACGCTGTGCTCCGTTTCGCGCTCGAGGTACGAGCAAATGAGAAACACCCTCTCCAAGCTGAGTACATGCGAAGAGAGCGCGATTTCACTGACTCAACCCAATACCCATTGTTCACTGCGCTTGAGAGCCCAGACTTCGTATCAAATATTGATGTTCTCTGGACGATCGCCATGGCGCTTCGCATCAGAATACGTGTGTACGGCAAGATTATACGCTGTGGCGACCAACTCCGCAAAGTTGACGACGTTCTTAACCTGATCGGTGAAGAGTATGCGCCTCCAGTCGCCGTGCTTCAGCAGAACGGATGTCGTGGCATGGCGGTAAAGTTCGCTGCTCTCGTTCCCGATGATAGTTGGCGAGACCTCGTAGAGCTCCTGCTCCGATGGCAAAAGGGCCCAAGCCCCAGGGACCCGGGATCGGACGTCAAGGACGGGATGCAGACGAGACGTTTTAGCTGGGTCATGAGATCTCGAGATGGCGGTGCTATGGAGGTCGTTTGCGATAACACCTACAGGCAAGGATCGAACAGCAATATGATCAAGAGTACAGATCAGCTTCAACGACACGACACCTGGCAGACCCTCGTACGCGATCCTCGCGACATCGCCGAAGCACTTTCTCGAGTCAAATCAGCCATGGACACCGCTCCTAATCAAGGACGTAACGTTCGTACCAACAGTGGTCAGCACGCATACGAACTTCTTCGCAGATGCCGCTAGTCCTAAGTCCCCTCCGCCTGGCTTTGGAGAAATTCATCGAACTGCAGGATCCGCTTCCGTGGTAAATGAGATCGTACCTGGAGCTGCTTTGCGCGGTGCCTGGGATTCTTTCCTCGCTCATTCGAAGCGCGGTCAAGACGGTAGGAAACTGGGCAGACTCGTTAGACTCCAGAGTACGAACGATACTCTCGTGATTGCGTTTCAGGATTTGAGACAGGAGACACTTGTCGCGAACGCTATTAGTGCTATCGGAAATATGACGAGTAGAGCGGAGGTATTGAACAGCGCGAGAGAAGCGACGATTGAGACCATTCGGTGGGAATGTGAGATTGATTCCGCACAAGGGTTGCCAGGTTACTATAGTCCTTATGATATTTTGGATCCTAAAGGGAGAGAGTTTCGTCGACGTGTTGAAGGAATGGAGGAGCATTGGAACCTGTCAGCGCTGTTGCATAGACCTTGGGAAGATTTCTATGGGAGTTGGATGTCGATTGCTACGTTAACGTTGCAGGCTTTGGAGGGGGAGATTGGTCGTGACAGCGAGTAGATAGGGATAGAAATCGAGAGTTGTGAGCATCCTTTGATACTAAGCCCAAGACTCCCACTCAACACGCGTATGACCTTTCTTCTCGATCAATTTTCTCATAATAGCTTCCTCGGCGTGAAAAGTCTGCTCTGTTTTGAGAAAGGATCCGAATCATTGCATTTGTGGTTGCAGCTCCAGACGGACAAATTGGATATGGCAAGCCAAACCGGAACGAGTGAAAGGAATCAGGGGGACCACTAGACATAGCTTGATAAATTTCAGAAATAAACCAAGCACAACGCCGAGCATAGAAAACACCAAACTACTAAAACCCACCACCTGCAAGTTCTTCCCAGCACCCGACTTCTTACTCACCAACGTATTCCTCACCCCAAACCCACTCCTCGTACTCGTCCATCCAGCACTCTCCTCCATCGTAGTCGTAGTGGGCGTCTCAGCCGGAACAAAATTCGGCAAAAAAAGTCGTAAACGGCGCCTCACTAGCATTAAACTTGGTAACACCAGTCGTAGGCAAACCCGGAATTTGTGTCGCACTCGTAGGGTTCGGGAGAAGGGTCTGAAAACTCTCATCCGGAGTGAGTACCGCGTCAATAACGTGCATGATCCCGTTGGAGATTAAGATGTCGGATTGCAAAATTCGAGCAGAGCTTAGGAAAAAGGAGTTTGGAAAGAATCGGAGTTTACTCGTTTGGTTGTTGGACATGGTGAGGGTTGTGTCGTTGGTGAAGTCGGACCTGTAGAGGAGATTTGGGATGAGGTGGTAGGATAGGAGGTTCTGAAGGGCTGGAGGAGACATGGATTTTAGGGACGATGAGACGGTTTCGAAGGCGGCTCCGACTCTTTGTCCACCTGTTACTCGCGAGAAGTTTGTCCCAGAAGTCATGGATGGCAAGAACTTGAAGGTTGTGTTCAGTGTTTCTGTCGTCCAGCTACCTACCAGAACGTGGTATGCGACGACTTGCGACATGAGAGCAGTATTGTTCTCGCCACTGAGAAATACCGGCGAGAGCACGTCGCTGTACTGAAGTCTTTCGAAGGCATGGTCTGAAGGCGCCAAGATTGTGACAGGTGCATTGCTGCTTAGGGAAGTCAAAGAAAACGAGTATGACAGCGAAAGTTGAGAAGCATCTTAAAGTGACGGCTAGCAAACATCAAGAACAGCCCCAAGGTACTGACTAGCAGAGTAGTAGGAGGTAGTGCCAGCCTCAAAGAGTAGCACAACACCGTTTGAAGATATGGCGGATCCGTGGTATCCGAATTGGTGAAGGACACTATCCTCTCCTATACGTGGCTTGATCAAGTTTCTGAGAATGGTAAAGCTGATGGGTGAGTTTGTGTCGCCCGGAAAACTAATGTTCACGTGTCAATGGAGCCCAATGCGGGAAATCTGGTCATGCTTGGTACCTGCATTCCCTGACTCGACGCTCCTGAAGAGTCGCACTGCGATCGCGTGTACAGCGTCAACGCATATCGGAGTGAAAGTTAGCGTCCGGAGCCCTGGAAGGTGCATAATATTAGCACTTCCGGCACCGCTAATTGCAGTGTCCTATACTAAATCGAGGTGTTGGCGCCGCGGCTAAGTATAGCACCTATAGGAAGGCTTGGCTATTAATTCCTCCGACTAGAGGGCTTAGAAGTTACGTATAGGTACTATCTAGGGTATATATAGACTATCTTTTAGTAGATTTAATAATATATTATTTTATAAGCTTTTTGCAATATTAAAGAAAGGAAGAAGGAGTAATTTAGAAGTAAGCTAAAGGTCGTTATATAATTAGGAGTAGGTCTATACTAGATTAATAGTATTTAAGAGTATAATTATAGAGAAGGCGCGGAGGAGTAGTCGGCGATAAATAGGTGCTTTCGGTAGTATCTACGTATATAGAGTCCTCTATTAAATAGTTAGCTTCTCTCTCGTTCCTTTATAATACTATATACTTATACTAACGAGTAGTACGCGCAGTATAGCCGTAGAAGGGGTTATTCTAGCGCCGTCTAGCTCTTATTAAAGCCCTCGAATAAGGTAAGAAAGATAGAGCGTAGTTACGCCTACTTTCCGACGTTATTAGTAGCCGTAGAAGTCTAATACTATTAGTTATGCCCTCTATCTATTTACTTAGTTTAATACCGGTATTTAATCTAGCTCTATTGCCTTATCGGTCTAGAAGTCTACTAAGGCCGGCTCTATCGTAGTTGTCGCAATCTCGTCGCCCTTAGGTTCTATAGTTTAATAACCCTCTACGCTATTAATTCTATATCTAATAGCGCGACTATATACTATCTGTTCTACTACCTATTTACGACCGTCCGCCGGAGTATAATAAGTCGGAGATGCAACTTCGAGAGTAGCGCAAGCTTGAATAGCAACTTCTAAGCTAAATACGTCGTCTATAGGTTAAGGTTATCGATTTAACTAAACAAGAGTCTTAATCTTTAGATAATAACTTAGCCTCGGTACGGATTAGCCCGCGGACCCGGCGATTCCTATTAGATCGGAATTAAAGCTCCGAAGGCGGGGTACTAGCTTCTTCTAACACTTCTAACACCTCCTTCTAAATATTTCTATCGATATAATATACTAATTTATCGTACCCGATACTGCCTGCTATATTACTTGCAAATCGTCTATCTAGCTAGTTAACTCTACCGAGCATTAAATCCCTTCTTTTTAGACCGCTAGGGCTATTGCTAACGTACGAAATCGCGACCTAACAAACTACCGAATAGCGAGTCTACCGCCGAGCCGTGCTTCTATACAAACTACGCACTACTATTAAACAACTGCACTAAATAGCCAAATAGCCGCTTATTTACATCTTAGAGTAGTCTCGTAAAGCATTGTCGACTATCTATCGCATCGTTTATAAGCCTTTTACTCCTAGGCGCTGCCGAGCCTACCGAATCGACGAATTCGACTATTCGCGCCCTATTCCTCGAGAGATTGCCCTTACTTACGCACTAACTCGACGACGTAGCCGTAGGCTCTATATAGACACCTAAGAGCGCCTTATCGTCGACTATATTACTTAGAACGCTACAACTCGTCGTATAACTTAGACGGAAGTTAGAGACTTACTCGGTTTGAATTGTAGTCCTATAACCGTCTCTTGTATCTATAGAAGGTATAGTTATCGCCGCTACGTTACACGCCCTCGGCCCTTCTATAACAACCGTATTCGACGCCTACGCCTCGAATAGGCTCAATTCTATTAATACTTTACTAAAGAAGACTAGGTAAATGTTCTATAGAGCGACGAGTATACTATATATAATAGATTATACGAGAGGCTCTTTGTTACTCGACTAGTTAGTAAGCGTAACTAAGACTGCTGTTCGAGGCCTCGCTTCTAACGCCTTCTATACTAGATAATATAGGCCTATATTAGTAGTATTAGCGGCAAAGGACTACTCCTACTATAGGATAAGATATAGGGCAATATTAATAAAGAGTTATACTATAAGAAGGTCTTGCTACTAGTTTAAGAAGAGATTAGTTATATAAATAGCCTTATTGCTAACTAAGAACACCCTCTCGGTTACGAGCCTGCCTTACACTTAAGAATAGCACTCTTCTAACAAGACTCGGCGCCTATATATAGAGCTAAACATATACTTAATTAGTTACGAGCTCGCCGCATTATTCTTATAAATAACTAGCTACCTTTATTACTAGATTTAAACCCTATCGAGAACCTATAGCGAGTAATTAAGTAGGCAATTGAACGCCGTAGAAACAGACCTACTAGCCGTAACCTTTAGCTAGCAATTGTCGAAGAATACTATAACGTACCTATAGAATTAGTATAATAATAGATTAATAGTATGCCGGCTCGCTGTCGTATAGTGATTAACGCTAATAGCGGTTAAATATAGTAGTAGATAGCATAGCGCTTACTTGGTTGTCTATAGTTGTCTATAGTCTTTAAACTAGCCTTCTATACGGCTTTAAACACCCTCGTTCTTAACCCTAATCGTTACCAAACTAGCTAAAGAACTGAAGTTCCTAACAATCGCACTAATTGGCTTCTAACACCTAGTTACACTATACTTTGTATAGCAAGCGGTGCCGCTAAGCAAGGGTCGCGACACCCTAGAATACATAAGCGCTCTTTCACTCCGATGTGCGTTGACGCTGTACGCGAAAGCGGCAAGGGCATCAAACCCTGGGATATTTGTGCAGAAGAAAGAGTCTTGAATCTGTATCACGTTTTCTTGGCATGCACGCCGAATGCACAGATAGTCTCATTTTGTGCCGAAAGTAGCCTTCTTCGATTGGGACTGGTTGATGCCATGAAACGGTGGCCACGCTGCAAAAGGATTGCCATTCAACAAGGCTGCTGGCCTAGCTGTGAGCACTGCACCCCATAGCCCACCTTTCATGCTTCATGATTCTCGCAAAAGCTTTCTATGCATCTCGCTTGATAAACGCCAGAAGTATGTCCTTTACTCCATAATCTCCTCAGTCTCCTCAATGATCTCTTCGAAGATCTCCTCGACCACCTTGCTCTCGTCACCATCCTCCTCGACATCAAGTGCTGCTTGTTCAGGAGTCTTTTCAGGCAGACCGAGCCCGTGTCTCTCCTCAAGGAGTTCTTCACGCGTACGCTCTCTCCACGCAATCCACTCGTCAAGTTGTCTTCTGCGCGCCTCGATGACGGCCTTGTCGGCGGAGCTGCGCTTGGCAGTATCTGCCTCGTCGAATTGCTTGGAGTATTCGCGAAGGTTCTTGCGAATGTTCTTCATCTCCTCCTTGCTAAGCAGGCGCTCTGGTCGTGGTCGCCAAGTGAATTGCTTGAATTGCTCGATTGGCTCTTCACGAAGGAGCTTCCCAGAGAAGTCGTACATGTGGTATCCGTTTTCCATCTAAGTCTTGGGTTAGTAAAGCCATTCTACGCATATCGTTTAAGACTTACTCTGTGCTTCCAGACACTGGCGCTCGTCGCGACAAATCGTCCAGATGGATCCCACTCAATGTCAGTCACACCGTAGTGGTCCGCAGTGGACATGAGTTGGAGGTTGGCAGTAAGATCCTTGTCCTTTTCTTCCCTCTCACCCTCAAAGTCGAAGTCCCAGAAGTCAAGATCGAAGCTCTGCTGGTTGAGCACAGTGGCAACAATGACGAAGCGACCATTTGGCGACCAGTGGATGGCATTGTTGTTTTTCTTGTCAACAGTCCGGATGAGCTTGAAGTTGCCAACAGCATTTCCCTTAGCCTTCTCGGGACAGAAGAAGGAAACCGATGTCTTTGGTGGCACGGCTGCTCCTGCGGGAACCTCGCCTGCCGTTATGAGCACAAAGCGATCACCCTTCGGTTCCCATGCAAAGTTGATGACTGTGTCTTTGATGCTATCAACGACTTCGACAGGCACACCCTTCTCCTTGACGCGGAAAATTTCGAGGTTGGTGGCGAGCGACTTCTTGGATTTGCTGTGTCGGTCGACCTTTACGCAGACGTATGCCGAGTCGGATTGCCAATGCAGCTTTGCGTCGCTGACGTTGAATAGATTTCGTGTTCGCACAATCTCCTTCGATGGGATAGACATGAGACCGACCTTTGCTGGGTTCGATCCCATCTCGGGCGTCCAGTAGCAGAAAAGCTGTTCGTAGTCACGTTTGTCGACACGCTGTGGATTCGATGGACACCACTCGAAATCCATGACGCCCTCAATCTTCACACTAGTCTTGTCCATAAGTCGCATGCTAGGGAGCTCGTATATGGAAATGCCTTGGCCTTGTGTCATGCGTGCGACATACTTCGCGTCGGCGGACCACTTGAATGCGGGCCATTGGATCTTCTTCTTGATCGGGTTGCCCTCCGCGTCCATAGTCGGCCCTGGGAGATCCAAGGTCTGGAATGATCGAAGCGGCTTCGCGGTTGCGACATCCCAGATGATGTAGTTCTTGCCGTCTTCCTCGACCGAGAGCACTGGATTGCCCTCTTCCACGGTCATCGGACGATGCGACCAAGTGGTCATAAAGCGCTCATCGGGCGAGAAGTCGACGAGATTAACGCCGGGGTGCATGAACCTCTTCTGCCTCGACCAGGTTTGACCACCCCACAGCTGGACACCCTGAGCGTGCATCGAAGTCAGATACGTGCCCTTTGGCGACCACTGTACGAATGACTCGGTCCAGTGCTGTCGATCCACGACTGGTTCTGGCTGCGCTTCTCTCTCGTTCCAGAAGACGCCTACATTGTCGCCACGGTACATCACGAACTGATCTCTGCCTTCTGGATCACCCAACCACCATCTCAAATGCTCTTTCTCTTCGAATGGCGCAATCTCTGGTGCCTTGTAGTTCTCATCGATTCTACCTTCTCTTCCATAGCGCTCGATGTCGGTGAGCTTGTTCACGGCGATTGTGTGCTTCTTGTCAAGAGCGGTGGCATGGAGTGCCTTGACTGCAGCAGCGGCTTGCGCGGAGGTCTCGTACTCGACAAAGGCAAATCCCTCAGTAAGACCATCCTCTCCAGTCGGCATCACCACATTCTCATCTTTGGTCTTGCCCACGGTGGTCAACTTTCGCAGCAAGAACTTGATGAGCTTCTCCTTGCTGGCCTCGGGCACCTTCGGCAGGCCATCAATCACAATGAATGTGTCCAGACCATCCTCCATGGTCGTCTCGAACTTCTCGCGAAGGTCTGTGTATCGTTAGTAGTCGCCATACTATCGTCCCTGCCTATGCTCCTGCCTACCTGAGAAGTCAATCTCCTCATCGTCAATGTCGAAGTCTTCATCGAGGTTGTCAAATGATGGCGCCATGATTGCAGTAGTTTCGTCGCAGTCTCGCTGTAGTATGCAGCGAGTTCTGTAAGAAGGCGACGACGGCAATATCCTGACAAAACTTATCCGTTGTCGCGCTTCAGATGTATTTTGAAGTCGTCTGCGGGGCGCCAAGATTTTGCCTCAGGTTGTGCATCGACTCATCTCACGAGTCATGTACTACTGTGACGCATAAGCTCAGTCATGTGACACATAAGCTCAGTCACATGATAACACGTGTCCTCTTGGCAGGAGAAGGATTTTCACACTGTATTTTAGACCATAGAATAGCAGAACATAGGCAATCAACGAAGCCATTTTTTGAACCGCTGGCAAGGCAGTATTACGTAAGTAATCCACTGCGCTGTGCGTGATAACTACCTTCAAACGCCTCCTACAACGTCTGGCAATGCTGTCCCGAATTATTGCTATACTACTCTGCCTCGTCGGGCTTACACTCGGATGTACCTCGGTTTGCCAATGCTGTACGGGTGGCAATCCGGTGAGAACCTCGCTGTATATTTCGCTCCGCGAGCCCGTACTGATCGAACTGTTCCTAGAAAGGGGGAACATTCGCAGGGCACTGTCATCAAGTGAGTGCGGGAGGAGATTTATATTGCCGAAAAGCGAACGGGGATGGTACAGACCCACTAGGTTGCTCAAACACGTGTACCTAGGCGGTGGACAGGAATCGGTCAGCCTATAGGTTGCGCCGAAGGGGCAATTGCTAGTGTTCGATTCTAGGGAGGATTGGGAGCCTTTGTGTGAGTTTAGGAGGATGAGGGAGGAGTCATCGCCCTTCTCAGGGGATCAATTCGAACATTGACTCATAGGGTGAACACTACGAAAGATCGGAATCAGACAACAGTGATGAGTGACTCTTTGGTGTTGCGACGGACTGTGCAGCCGTTGCTGCGACTTGCTCTATCTAGCCTACTATGCTCGTCTCGAAGTCATCCAGTAGAGTGAGCAATCTCTCCTTCTCACCCTTTCCACCAAATATCGATGACACAGCACGTCTACTCAGCGCTGTGAGATCCTTCCTGCCAAGACGAAAGTGCTCCCCAGCGAGGAGATATTCATTCGACACGGTGCTGCCAAATACTCCCACATCATCCGTCTGTTCTCTGTCAGCAGACAAGCAAAGCGTGATCTATCATTGTGGCGCAAGCAGGAGTCATGAGAATGTAAGGCAGAACTTACGCAAAGCGCGATGGCATTCGGTCTAGAGTACCATTGACCAAAATGGTGGTCCGCGAATCGCCCGGCATTGGGTAGCATTTTGGCATGCACGTTGCATGAAAGACAAAGCTCGAGACCACAGGCTTGCTCTTCGATCATGGAATCGATCTCAGAAGATGTGTTGATCACATGGCCTAAGCGATCTGGTTGGAAGGACAGCAGCGTGCGAAGCTCTTGGTCGGTCGATGACTCCGGCACCTCTGCGAAATGCAGTGTGACCTTCAGACCATTTGCCTTGGCTCGCGAAAAGACAGTCTGGAAGGTAGAGACTTCACCTTTCAACGGGTTGCCACATAGATCGATGCCTACGACTCCACGATCTTGATACTTCATGGCAAGGTCAACCACTTCCATAGCTTGTGAGGCAGTGTTACGCCGGTCAACGGACAGTATCAAGTATGTCGGCATTGTAGTCGTATCGTGGTCTTCAATCGCCTTGATCACCGTCTGAACATATATCTCTTTCGTCATGCCAGTTTCACTGGACTCCCGAGGTGTGGTCCGAAGTTCGAGATATCTGACACCGTCGTTCTCGAAGTCTTGAAGCACTCTACCAGTAGCGTATGCCACTGTCTCAATATCGTCGCAGAGGCCATAGATGTAGGCATCAAAAAGCTTGAAGAACGTGAGGATATCATGGTAAGCTCCGTGCGGCCGCAAGACAGACAGGGGATCCTCCAACGTGCTCTGTTTGCGTGCCCAGATCTCGTGAAGGCATTCGGGACTGATACTGCCGGTCAAGTGCGCGTGCAGCTCAACTTTTGGAAGCGCTTCGACGAACGCAGCATCCACAGACATGGCTGTTGTTCTGGTGGGTAGTACAATGGCAGAGCTGACGGCGGGTACCTGAAGCAGTGGTGTCTCAGATGGAAGCCCCGATCGGACTTCGGAGACTGCACTCGCGTGCGTTGCGCGATACTGGGCCGTGTGTATTATCTTGACATTTTCCGACTGACATAGCAGTGCAATATGAAGGAGTGACAAGGGCGCATGAAGTGTTGTGTTGATCAGTGAAGAGATGTCGTCCGCACAGACCTTGCCTTGTCAGCAGACAGACGCTGGGCCGATCTTCAGGTAGCTTTGCCCACTAGAATACTCCCATTGATGCCGCTCAAGACAAATCTGCAATTGCGCTTGTACATCTCGGAACTGGAGCAGTAAGCAACACATGCACATGCACATCCACTTCCACTTCCGCGCTGAGTGTCAATCGTCCGAAGTGAACTTCGCAGCCTGGAAGTGAACGTGAACGTCGTGAAGTGGATCGCGACTCTTCCTCTTCGGCATCGGGTCCAGCCACCGACCGCTATATACCGCCGTACGGTACCAGACATACAGGTCTCGCTCAGTCTGGAACAAGCGAACTCGAACCACACTGCGCTGTCGCCGGCTCTCATCCGCCTTCTCACCTCTCGCGCGCACAACATTCAATTGCGCCTTCGCAAAGAGCATAGCATTACTACATCGCATCGATCACCATGGCCCGTAAGTCTGATATATGGAGCAAGCGATGCGTACTATCTCATGTGCTCGGCATCTGTCCGCTCTAAGAGATCACCACTGACAACACGCGACACAGTTCCTGCGGAGCAGCACGCTGCTTACGCTGTCATCATTGACCGTATCCTCGCCAAGTCCGACCTCAATACCATTTCCGCGAAGCGCATACGGAAGGAATTGCAAGATGAAGTCGGCGAGGACCTCACAGCTCAGAAGGTATGTAGGGCCACAGAAGAGGCGTGACAGCCCAATTGAAGCAAATGGTACTGACAATGTCGCCAGAGCGCAATCACCGACCTTATCATGGAACGATTCGATAAAGCCCAGCAGAAGCTAGAGACGAGCAACGGCGTTGCAGAGCCCGCGCCGACCGCAAATGGCACTGCCAAAGTAGAAGCATCAAATGGTGGCGCCGATACATCAACATCACCTCCGCCCTCAGCCAAGCGCAAAGCCGAGAGTGATGAGCCGAGTGAACTTGACGTTGCTTCTCCGGCACCGAAGAAGGCGAAGAAGAACAAGACAGGAGAGACAGATGCGCAATTAGCAGCGAGACTACAAGCAGAGCTCAACGCCGTCACAGGGCGATTAACAAGAGGCGGAGGTGCCAAGCGCAAGCAGCCGATCAAGAAAGAGAAGAAGACCAAGAAGAAGAGCTCAGCTAAAGTCAATAGCGATGACGACAGCGAAGTCGAGAGCGGCGAGCCGAAGCCAGAAAGAGAGAAGAAGGGAGGCTTTCACGTAAGCCAAATCCAACCCACATGATCTTTTTTCCCAAGACCTACACTGACAACCAAGCAGAAACCCATGAACCTCTCAGCCCCCCTCTCTGAGCTGCTGGGAGAAACCCAGCTCTCGCGACCACAAACCGTCAAAAAAATCTGGGAATATGTCAAAGAACGAGACCTGCAGAATCCAAAAGACAAACGCCAAATCATGTGCGACGAGAAGATGCAAGCGGTTTTCAAGGGCGAGAGCGTGCATATGTTCACCATGAACAAACTTCTAGCCAACCACTTGTACCCGGTCGACGAGGTCAGCTAGTCGTGCGCGCAGAAATAGGGTCAGGACACCACGGCTTAAAGGACCAGCGCACCATTCGAGGGATAATTTTTGACCAGTTTGATTTTTGAACTACCAGCCCATTAGGCCAGCGAGGAGTTTTGCGAATCTTGTACTTGACATGGATGGATGGTGCTTCGGAATCTGGAAAGTATAGGCGGGACTCGGATCAGGTGGGCTGGGGTGGTTAGACATATATGTCAATACGGGGCGAGAGAAGCTTCGCAGAGGGCAGGAAGAAAGAACGAAGAGCACAGCTGGAATGGAAAAGAAAAAGAAAAAGGCCGAATACGAAACGAATCAATCATGCTAACATCAAAAATTCCTGCACGCTAACTCCAAGATTGTCTGAATGGGTGGGGCCTTTCCGTTGTCTTTCCAATCCACGAACGATGGGTCTGATTTCTGCTTCGGCTTCTCTCGCTCGATCAGAAGTTCCTCCCAGTCCAGCTGCGAATAGCTCGACGAAGCAGGTTGTCATTGGGTTCTTCTCTGACGTCGCCGACGGACATCGCCTTGCTCCTCCACCTCAGCAGGCGCATTCTGCTCGTTGACGCCTGCAGACCGCCGGGTCTCTTTCGGTGAAGTGAATGCGTTGTTGCCAGGACGGGACTGGGCGTTGTTGGTTCGCCGACTGGGAGGAGCAGGAATGAACTTCTGCCAAGCCGGACCGTTCATGTCGATACCTCCTGGTCCACGCTGCCCAATCGACTGCTGCGCCACGAATCTGGGACGGTAAGGTTTCGGCGAAGGTCTGTGGTTGCGTTCGTCCATTCGACGACCATATTGGGCTTGGGGCACGCCGTAGAGAGGGGCTTGCTTGGGGTCCTTTCGAACGGTGTTGCCTTCTCTGCGCGCTTTCTGGACCGGTGCTTCTGCTTCGGCGTTGATTCGCTTTGAGACACCGTCTAAAGCTGCGAGGAGGTCTTTGCTGAAGTCGGTGGAGTCGGTTCTCTCGCCTTCTGGCTTGCGGTGAGATGGAGGGCTGAAGTTGTTATCCCTCATCTTGTGCAAATGGATTAGTTCGGGGCGACGATTTGGATGTGTAGAAGCAGCTTACGTTGACGAAGTATGCGGTGTAGTGACTGCTCTTTGATAAATTATGGCAACGCTGGATGGATATGATGTTTGTGCTGTTGTAACCTGCGTGTAGAGGTCTGAGTTTGAAGACGATCCAATGCTGCAAGTGGGCAGGACCACTCCAGCGACTCGATGTTGACCATTTGGCCGACGGTTCTTGCCACGCGTGTGGGATCATCTTGCCCCGAACGTGACCTCGCAATGATATGTCAAGCATACCTTATGCTTTGCCTTGGTAGCTAGCTCAGCCTAGCTGAAGGTTCAAGTTAAGCTTGTTCTCGAGCATGGTCTTGGTATTTCCAGCATCGATGATCGATTTCCGGCTGCTCTGTCGAGATGGATGAGACATGATCTCTCGTGCTTGTCATGATACTCACTGAATCACAACATATCACTGTCCGGCTGATCCTGCTCGCAAAAGAGGTGCAGTCATTTGTGCCAAGCTCTATCGTTCTGCCGTGTAACAAGCATATTTACGTTCATCCACTAGCGTCCGATGCTTATGGGCCAATGGGTAGAAGATGATGCCAACTTCAATGGGCATATGCATCCTGGCGTACATGTGTGGGAATGCTTCTGTTTGAACCTGACAGGCAACCGAGAAGCATGCAAGCAACATGTCTGCTCTTCTCCATGCACACTGGTTCTCCCACCGCAAGCACCTCCAGCGGTATACTAGGAACCTGATAAAGCAGTCGATGCGCCCAAGGCAGGCCTACCTGCCCGTGTCTCTTCTACGCGAACCATAATTCTTCAGTCGTCGCCCATGCAGAAAAACAAAAAAGCACGGGTTGACAATGAACAACCAGAGCGGATGATCCACCGACCGAGACGTCAAACATCTATTATAGACACAACACATTCAGAATCGCCTGATGACCAATCCCGCGCTACCAAATTGAAAGCACTCCCCTCACGATCACACCCGAGCTACAAAATGTCCATATCCTCCAAGCATCCCAACGTGCGCTTCCGGGACGAAATTCAAGCACTGGCCTCCCAAGTCCTAGCCGCAGGACAATTGGTATAGAGGATATTTTTAGCACGAAAGAGAAGAGGCTTGGGTGAAGGACGAGGAAAGGATCCGTTGGAGTGGGTGCGTGATAATGGTTGGGAATCGCTTTGCAAGGGAGGGGAGGTACACAAGGTCGAGGTTCCGAGGACGAATGATGCGGAAGAGACCAGCATTGATGACTGCGATTTCAGGACCGAGCTAGGTTTAATGGAAGCCCTTACTACTAGACTCACACTGGTAGACAGACACTGAGATGAAAAGAGAGAAGAAGAAAATTTCTTCAACCTTTTGCGAGTTGTTTTTGCACATGATAAAAAAACGATAACTGTGGAGGTATCATTAAAAAGCCAAAAAAATTGTCTGTCTCTTGGAACGCCTCGTCGTCCATGCTGTAGATCGGATCAAGCATAATTTCGTGGGGGGTCACAATCTCAAAATTGCTGTACAGAAAACATAGATCTTTCTCATCGAGGAAAATTCATCTGCCTGTGTTCGTACCCAGGACTCAGAGGCGCCTCATAAGCTCCAGGTATTGGCACAGAATCGTAGACTTGCTCTCCAGGTGCCGCTGCGAAATGCTCCTGTTGCACCTCCCGAGGAGCTTCAGCCATGAGCGGGCTCCGCTGATCGACGTGTGCCGGAGGCGAAGGCGTTCGTTCTCGCGTTGTTGTCGTTACAGGCGAGAAGCCCATCTGTGCCATCTTGGGTGTTGCGTTTGTGACCTTGATGGGAGGTGCTTGTAACCTGAATGCCGAAGGTTGCGCTTTGCGGTCTGCGTCAACGTACTGCGCGCCAGGATGGCCATCCTCGAGCGCGCTGGCGTGCTGGTACTCGTCGCCCTGCGGCGGTCTCCATCCTCCATCGCGAGCGCTGAATGGTGCGGGTGTGTTGGGTGCTGACTGGGAACGGAGTTGGGCGAGGTAGAGGTCGCTTCTTGCACGATCGCGAGCAGCCATGGACTTCCGTAGTTGTCGCTTCGAGTAGAATCGCCAGAAGACAATACCATACACGGAGATGGTGATGAGCTCGACGACGATTTCGATGATCGCGCAGACCAGTGACCAGTTCTGCAGTCGGCAAATGAGTTGGTAGCTGACATCGTTCTCGAAAAGTGATCTTCGCTGATTGTTGACGCAGGACCATCCCCACATATCTTTATTATTGCTGTTGTTCTTCTGGGCCTGGATCACTGCGGCTCCGACACCCCACATTACGATGCTGAAGATGAAGAAGACTACCGCGAATGCAGTGTAGTATACCGCTGCCTTCTCGGCTCGCCTATGCCCTCCTCTCCAGTATCCATAGAAGATGACCATGCATGCAAACAGGGAGACACATGCGATAGAGAGCAGGAGGATCTGGGGCCATGTTTTCTGGTTCTCGGCCCAAGGAGGTAAGTTGTTCCGTGGTGGTAGGGCTTTCGTAGCGTTGAATATGGCAAAGGTCGATGCAAGCATGGCAATGACGATAAGTGAACAAGAGAAGTTCACGCCTCTCAGCAAGAACTTTGCTATTCGCACTCTCGCTTTGACTTTCTATCGAAGGATTAGCGAAACTCTCCTGGGTCGGCGCGATCGACTTACAAGGTCTTTTGCTTGCTCCTTCTCTGTGAACTTTTCGTGCTTCTCCAGGACCTCTTCAGGCTTAAAGGTCGGGCTGAGGATATTGTGTAGATCTCGAGGCGGGGCACCGGGTGTCTTCATGGCGCTCTTGAGTGGTGACTTGGGCATCTCCCGTGCTGTCACCGGAGGCTCGTAATCTGTGTTGGGCATCTCGACGGAGTTATGCTTGTTGACGTAGCCGAAGCCAACATCGGAGACTTGAGGTTGGGCCATGAAGTGTTGCGGGGCTGGTTCCTTGAAAGGATTCGACGCAGGCTTGGGCTCGATGGGTGAGTTGACTGCTGTCGCTTCGGCGAAGCGTGCTGTGCGAGGTGACTTCAACGAAGGCGCGTTGCCAGAAAGTGTTGAGTGCGAGGTGGCTTGCGAATCTGCGGAGGCTGATCGTTCGCGTACTGCGAATTGTACTTCTTTCTTGTGACTGTCTGACATGCTGTCAGAGACCAGACCAGGGTTTGCAGAGCGTGAGACGTAAGATGAGGCGGCTGAATGCGATGCGATGCGATGCCTCTAGAACCGCAGAAAGAAACAAGAGGCCAGCTCTTCGGTGGCAGGTAAGGCGCAAAAGGTTGGATTAGGGGAGAGTACAGTAGTGATGTTTGGAGTCCAGCTGGGGAGAGAAGAAGTACAGCAAGGCGAGTGCGGGTATGGTTGGATAGATAGGTGGATGAGCGCTTCGCACGGACGTCTACGCCTGCAGGTTCATGCTCTGAGAGCGTTCTGCCCTTCACATGGCCTCGTGGCACGCTGATAGGCCGAGCTGGGGGTGCGGGTGAGGGAAGGCGCGCCGCTGAAAATAGCCGCTGGGGAGCTCGGTGCTGGCAGATGTGTGGTGGGGTCTCTCGTGAGTCTTGGTGAAGGAGCTGTGGATGTGTATGTGTGAGACGCACTGATGATGATGAACATGCTGCCCCTCGGGTAGGAGAGGATCGTCTGGTCGGGGGCTGAACAGCGCGAGAGCCCTCTTCACTGACCTTGACCTTGTCGTCGCTCCTCGTCGGCAAGCGCCGCGCCGCATCTCTTCTGAGAACATCATCACACAAAGCTGCACGAGTGGTGAGTGGTGACGAGCGATGCGACGTGCAGCTGAAGTGGTGGAAGCGCAGGGCCCAATCAATTAAGCTCGACCTGCTCGGCCAATCAAAGACACCACATCCCTGCCCGCGAAAGACCATCATTCGATTCCGGGCGCTTAGAGATTCGCCTTCTCAGTCCAGACCAACCTTTGTCGGTTCACTCACTTCACTCACGTGCCTTCCATTCTACTCCTCCATCCACGTACAGTGAAGCAGGACGCAATGACATCAGTTGTGTAGTACAGCAACTCGGATTCTGACCATCTTTGTCAGCTGTTCAGCTCACTTGCTGTTCAGGCTGCTATTTCTGGCTCCTGCTCGTCCTGTAGTTTGTAGAACTTGCCACCAACAGCCCGCCATTCTCGCATTTCAGCTATTTCAACGGGCTTCTTCGACGACACGGCCTCGAGATAGCCTGCCATCTTACAAATGCCCAGGCGAGGTGCCTTAAGAAGACATCTATAGCGTACACACTGACATGCAAGCACGAGACAGCATGCCAAATTTACCCATCAATTCGTGAGTCTTGCTTGGGACATCCGTTTCCAAGCACCTGCGAAGCCATGCCCACGCCCTGATCGCCATCATCTGTGCATGCCATTTCGCATACTGGAGGTACCATGAAGAACTCCCTTTTCACGCTCTTTGCTACGAGCTTGGAAGAGACCTGTGGTAATGGGCAACTCGGGACGTCAGTCTTGCGTGGCCTGGCATCCGGCTCATTGTCTCTGCACCGCATCTGTGACAATTCGAGACAATGCTCTTTGATGCACTGCTTTGACTTACTTTTCTTTGTTTCGAACATGCTGCATGTTCGATATAATGGCCTTGTGCCGAAGTTGAGCTCCCCACATCTCAATACACCCACGCACGCAAATCTTCTTTGTTCCTCATCAAGCTATCTGTTTCCGGTGCAGCTGGACTGCACTACGATTTCCAATTAAGCAAAAGGGAAGCACTCATTGCAACTTACAAACAACAACACGCCACAATGCAACAACGAGAAAATTCGCGAGGACCGCCAACGCATCACAGTTATCGGCGTTCCGCAGATTCCACTCAATCAGTTGGGTCCTCGACCCGACATGTTCCTACTCACATACGCACTCAGTCTAGAGAGCAGCCACCGCAAGCCGTTCCATTGATTTCCAGAGATGCCAGCGGGTACTTCAATGTGTCAAATATCCAACCCAGAGCATATTCCCCTGCGGCGACACCGAGAACCTCGACTGAGCAGCCAAGAACCACCCCAGCTTCGTTGCATTCTAATTCTCAAAGAAGCTCAATGACATCAGCGTTCAAATCTGGCCATGAACGTGTCGAGTCCTTTTATGCTCAGAAGAGGAGAGACAGTAATGTCACGACGTCTACATCAGACACGAAGACCTCGAAGAGCAGAGGTCGCTCATTCATTCGCCGCGAATCCAACGCATCTTCCAGCGGAACTTCACAGAAGCGTTCTGGCAGCCGAAGAGCTTCTTTCAAAGAAGCTATCAGACGTGCATCGAACGATATCGGGAAGGGAGTCGATATCCTCAGAATGGGTCCTGGTGATCGTGACAAGTGGGTCCAGCGAGAAAAAGACAAGATCCTTCGCGAAATCGAAGAAGCACGTCGTCAAAACGCGGCCATCCGGCCGAAGTATCAGCAGGACTACATGGCTGAACGTCAGCGTCAATCTATGGACAACCGTACCCCCTCCCGACCTCTGCCAAAGAATGGCGAATTTTCAGCAGGCGATCAACTCAATGCACTCGAGCGTGCACTCCAGGATGAAAATGATCCGAACCACGCAGAAGCTCTGGCTGATGCTTTGCAAAGCGGAAAGAGAACGGCCGGTGAGGACTTTGCCTTCTTTATCTCCCGAGCTATTGATCCTTTGAAATCGAAGAAGTCAAGACAGAATAGTGACGATTCAGATCTATCGTTTGCTGACATTGGAGTTGCAGACGAGATGCTCGATTGCGAGCGCTGCGGCCGACCGGTCTTGACTGGACTGAAAGACGGGCTTTGCGAGAGATGCTACGCTATTCGGCTGAATGGCGTTCAGGGTAAGCGTTGATCGAATTCCATACATCCAGCCTTCCAATCCTCTGTCTTTTGAGCGAGCGTTGTTTAACATCTTCTCCTTTCCTATATCTGAATAGTTCTCCAAGGTAAGAAAAGTCTTTCTTTCAAACCGTCCTCATTAATATCATTGTCTCTGGCTCGTCTCGTTTCCAATTTTCTTTCCTCGTGATCTGCTCAAAGGTTCCAACAATCCACTAACGTTGCTGGCATTAAGAATGGTTCGACCAGACTTCCTCTCCAGCTGCAGAATCCAACGACGATCAGGATTCCGACTCAAGCTGGAGCGCCAGCTCCCACAACTCATACCTGTCTCGTCGATCTGCAGTCTCCAAAAGCTTCAGCAATGCAGGCACGCACAGCAATCGCAGCTCGCCCAATCGGGAAAGACCAGTAGACGAAGAACAATACATGAAGATAGCTGTCAGTAGGCGAATTCGCAGAGTACGCCAAACGATCTACCTTGATCCAGGCAATCCATTCGCATCAGACGAAGACGAACACAACCAAGAGCCATCAACAAGATCCCAAACATCCACTAATGAGTACACCACCTCGCTCGATCAATCATTGCGTAACTCGGCCTCGTCAGACGAACGCTGCATTTTCGGCGAACCGAGCATGGAAACTCCCCTCCTAGCACACGAAATCGACACCATCCCACTCCCTCCATTCCCATCCGTGCCAACACATATCCGAGACTCATCATTCGGTCCAGCAGTCATCATAGCACCATCCCCAGTGCGGATCGGCACACCAGACCTCATCCGCACAGAAGCCAGTATACCCATAACACTCGACTTCGACGACTTCCCTATATTACCAAAATCACAACTCACACTAGCCGAAGCCCTGAAATTAGACCGAGAAGAAGAGAGGAAGAAAGCCAGTATACCTCTGAGCTTAAACCCTCCGACCCCTCCACCCAAAGACTTTGTTTTACTGTCGCCCGCAGTCTATAGTCCCAAGCCATCGCCGACGAAAGTCAAATCTTGCGCTGACGAAGGCGAGGACTATGTGGCACCGAGGACATATTGGAGACGGAGTCTGCCTTCTGTGACGAAAGGCTTGAACCTGCTAGCTGTGCCATCGGAGCAGAGTGGTAAAAGGCGAGGAAGCAAGGACGATATCGAGGTTCGTAATACCAGGTATTATGGGTTTTATGATGGTGTGTTGGAAGAGTATCGGCACAGTGGCGCTTTTGGTACCGGTGAGGGACGGATATGAGCTATAGAGAGGGATATATGGGTGTAGTTGAGAGACTCGGTATATTGAAATGCCGGTGAGAAGTAGAAACAACTCATGGAGAAGACAGACGCTGGGTTTAAAACAGAGTGCTTCCTGCTTCGCTTGAACTTTTAACCGCGGACTCAAGTCCGACCACCCTGACTGACATCACATCTCGACATTGCAAGCTTCCCAGCTTCCACAACCCAAGCTCTCTTCGAAGCCATACCAAGACTCCTTTCAGACATAGCAATGGACACCGACAAATACCCCCCCGCAACCTCCGTCCAAGGAACCCTCCACTACATCCCCAAAAACCTCTGTGCCTTCGAACCGACCAAACCCCTCGCGCGCAATGCCAACATAAACACCCTCCTCTGGGTCGGCGGCATGTTCGACACCCTCCACTCAGTCACCTACCCCTTCAAAATCGCCGAATCCCTCCCACCAGCCTGGACCCTCGTAACCGCCTCGCTCAGCTCCGCCGGCCACAGCTGGGGCGTAAGCAGTATATCCAAAGACGCAGAAGACATGGCGAAAATCCTCGAATACCTACAAAAAACCCGACCGGGAGGAAAAGTCGTGATCATGGGACACAGTACCGGATGTCAAGATTGCATGGAATACATCGTCGGAAAAGGACACGAGAAGAGACCGAATGTCGACGGCATAATTCTGCAGGCTCCGGTTTCAGATCGTGAAGCTTTGGATCAGGACTTACCGAAAGCGATGAAATTGGAGGCTGACCAGTTGGCGACGCAAATGTGTCGGGAGAGGAATGGGAATGAGTATATTCCGAATCGACTTACGAGGGCTGTGTTTGGGCGGATGGCGGTTACGGCGAGGAGGTGGTTGGATGTGAGTAGTCCCGGACCGGATCATAGTGGGGCGGATGATTATTTTTCTAGTGATTTTGGGGCGGAGAGGTTGAAGAGGACTTTTGGGCAGTTGACGCCGAAGACTCCGATTTTGATTTTGTATAGTGGGAGTGAGGAGAATGTTGAGGAGGGTTTGGATAAGGAGAAGCTTGTTGATGCTTGGGTTTCGGTTGTGAGGGATGCTGGAGGGGTTGTTGATGAGGGCAGTGGGGTTGTTCCTGGTGCGACGCATAATTTGAATGGGAATCCGGATGAGGTTGTTCAGGATCTGGTGACGCGCGTGGTGAATTTCACGGAAACGATCTCTGGGACAGGCGCTGGAGCTTCGAGGATGTAAGCAGAACGACGTTCGTCGCCTAGGAATTTCGCTTTAGTGTGTGCTCATTTGCTTCCAGCACTGGTGAGACCAGCCATAACAAGGGCTCCTTGACTGGGGACTGGTGAATCCGTTCATAGCGAACCCGAGTTCCGGGACGATCGAACTATCTGCTCTAGAGGACAGTTACTAACGGTAGAGGCCAAATAGAAGTCTTGAGAGGCAGACATCCACGCGAAATGCTCGACGAAGAAAAATAAAGACGACTATGATGCCGTTGAACACCTTTACATCATGCTCGGCCACAGGAGATAAGAGGAAGCCAGCATATGGGTGATATGACTAAGCAAAGAGAACATTTCCAGCGCTGGAGAGCCCCTCATCTTTAGCGAGTCGAGGTAGGCATGGCCGTTGAAATCATGCAAACATGAGCTAGCGGCGGCCATAGCCGTGCAAATCAGCAACTTTCACATGTCAAAGCTGAGATTATGAGCTTCAATTCGTTGGATCGAGGTCTGCACTTTGTGAGGACGTATCGAAAAAGCAAAATATGAACCAAAAGCCCGTAGCTCCACGTGAGCTCGTGTTTCATAAATGCGGTAATCTCAGTTGTCGGTACACTCACTGCCCGTCAAAGAGCCTGACCGATACCAAAAGAATTCGGATCCACATTCTCCCTCCCTCTCACCTTCCCATCAACAAGCCGTAGCCTCGGTGCACCACTCAACACAGGTCGCGGCTCTACTTCGTCTCATCCAAAGCAGTCTTCTCAGACTCGGCCTAGTCATCTCATCAGTAGGAGCAGCAATTCCCGAACCCGGACATCTCGCACCAAACGCACTTCCACTTCCACCATCACTCGAAAGTCTTTCTTGAGAATGCCATTGTGTAAGAACTTATGAGATTGGAATCCCGCGGCATTCTGTGAGCAGGAAAGTCAAGAGTGTGCATGCTCGAAGCAATCATGTACTGTTTGTTTGACCATATCTGGTGTGATACCCGCTCCCGCGCAGGAAGTTGTAGCGTGAGACTCGTCCACGGGTGTGCTATGCTCAGAACGTGGTCAGTGATCCGAAAAGAAGTCGTGCGCTACACGAGCTATGATCTATTTCACGCAGCGATCTTCCTGGTTCGCACGCGAACTTCATGCATGCGAAGTCTTCGGAAGCGTTCGATTCGAAGTCCGTCATGCTTGTAGCAAGGATTAAACCTCGCTGTTACGAACTGCCAGGCCTCGCCAGTGACTGAAACGATAGTGCTCGAAGAAGGAAAATGTGCATGCGGACAAGTTCTTCCAACTGTTCTTTCCGTCATGTGAACTAGTTGCTACCAGGGAAATCAGCCAAGATTCGCCGAATCTTAGCTTTCTCGCGCGCCAAATATAATGCCATGCAATGCCGTACTCATGAAACCCACGCTCCTCGCTGTCGTATATACAGAGCAAGACAGCCTGCTATGCGAAGCGCGTGTTGAGACGCAGCATCTAGTCATCTATCCTCCAAAATTTTCAATGCGTCGAACATGTAGTCGCTAGGAACGCTTCAAAGACGTGTGTGCAATCAATATGTCGAGCATCCATCTACAGACATGGATGCTCTGCGGAAAGCTTCGCCGAAGAATGACTGCATCGCAGAATAGTGGAATAGTATGCCGCCGAGGACAGCAATATGCCAGATATTGTGGCTGCCACCGGCGTAGTCGAACCAGCCTGGCAAGAAACGCTCAGGAATCTTGGCTGCGTACAGGATGGCGCCACCCAGGTAGACCAAGATGGACTTTGCAATCGGAGCGTAGAAGTATGCGGTCTCGTGCCAGCCGCGCTCATAGGTGAGCTGTGCAATAGGAAAGAATCCTGTAGTTGCAAGACTGACGTAGAAGGCGACACGAGCCCAAGACATGTCTGCCCGGTTGAAGAATGGATGCCAAGGTACTATCGTGCCGCCGATTCCAAGCACGAAAGTCAGCGACATGTAGATCCATCGCGAAATGGGCTCGCAGTAGAATGCTGTATATTCAGTAGTCATAATGCTGGCCGCGACCAGTAAAGAAATGCCAGTGTAGTCGACACAGGCAAAGCGCTCCATAAGCGTCTGATTGCTAATGGACGACATTGCATGCCACATGCAGCTGCACACCAGGCACTTGCATGCTGCAAAGAAGAAACAGCCAGCAATGAATATGTCGAACTTCGTAGCAGAAGTGAAAGCAGGCGTCGAAGGATAAACGTAGAAGGCCAGAGCCAGGACTATTATGAGGCCAATGGCGTGCGACCAGATGTTCACGAACTCGTTCGAGAGTCTGAAGCAAGATGTAATGCAGTGGACTTTGGTCTCAGAGAATCGATAACCACTGAGGATGTATGGATTGACACGCCAGGGCTCGGGTAGCATTTCGTACGGGACCAAGCCGTGCTTCTTGGCATGAGCAAGTGCAGTCTCGATCTTCATCTTCATGCGCTCCTTTGCTCTCCATGCCGCATCGGCACCCTCGTGCATCATCTGGCCAGCTTTGGTCGCCTTGTCATCCATGTAGGCGATACTCGAGTCCAGCATCTCGCTGGCGGTCACACCAAGACCAACATCCCGAATATGATATGCACGTTGCTCCAGAGCGGCGAGATTCTCTTCGAGCATTTTTATACCTGCTTGCACCTTGGCTTCGAGGGTATCCCTCTTGGCAAGAGCATCGCGATAGTTTGACTCCAGCGTCTCCACCAAAATCTTGTGTCGCCTCCGGCCTGCATCCAATATGTCGTCTCTCGTTCTCGAACAGCGCTCGTGCACCTCCCGTAGTGTTTCGTGTAGGCTCTTGACGCTTTCGTCAAATTTGAGGTGTCCATACTGCTCCACCATCTCCAGTCTCCGGCCCAAGTCGCTCAAGAATTGGTCGACCAAGATCTGCACATTTTCCCTCTCTGTGCTCCATGATCGCGGGTTGTACGAAGAGTGCCGCCGCCGCTTTCTCGCGCGTTCCTGATCGAGGTCGAATTTCGTCCCCGAAGATGTGCCTACTGTAGGTTCCTCATACGATTCGGTTGCAGTGGCCGTGCTGCTATAGGTACTGCGCGCTGTGCAGTACGTCTGTGTCATGGTCGCTGTCGGTATCGAGGTGCCCCTGGTATTTGTAGGTGGGAGTAAGGCGTGAGATGCTGTACAGCTCCGTATAAGAGAGTCCTCCCTAGGCGCGAGCGACGTCAATCTGCACGCCTCGCTTCGTTTTCCTTTCGGTCGCCGCTAAATTACGGATAAATTGAGGCCGTTGCTGGCTGGCTGAATCCCGAGGCAGGAGTAGACGGGCGGCCGTGAGAGTCGTGGGGTCAGTATAAGGACAGACTGAAGGAAAGACTGGGAGTGAAGAAAACAACAACAAATCGCTCAGATGACGAATGCCAACTTGTGCATGTGGAATACCGAGAGCAGAAGACGGGAGACGATGGGGCGCGACTATTCGTAAATCAGCTCCGGCTATTCATAAATCAACGGACCTAGGGCCGCTCCGGTCTCGGTGAGACCATATTGTTAGTAATTCACATAGAACAATATCGCATGAAGACCCGTAATGCCTATGCTAGCTGTTCAGTAGAATAATAACGTAGGAAAGAAGAATTAAGTAAATTAAGTAAATAATAGACGTAGAATTCGACACTATAGCTAATCCTAACTATTCTAGGCATACTGCCTGCCTAGCAAATGAGGTTCTACGACCCTCGCATTAACGTATAGCTCCTACTATACGATCTCAGTATATTCTAGCATTACTACTAGCGCTATAGGTACTAGTAGAGCCCTTAGAGTAGGCGGAGGTCCTTCCTAAGTAGGTAAATAAGTAGATACAGGGTTTCTATCGCACTACCTATGCCTATAATAGCTAGAGTAGCAGTCTACGTTATCTTTAACGCACTTGCACCTCCTATAGGCCGTTTTATATATACAGCCCTTACGTAAACGTTCTCGTAGTACTAGTAGTAGTAGAATAGGCCTCCCCGGCTTAGCCTGTCTTATCGCTTCTTGCTAGTTAATAGCGGCCTGTCTAGCGGCCTGTCTAGCGGCCTGTCTAGCGGCCTGTTTAATTAGCTTAGGTCTAGTTGCCTTACGCCGAGTCGACCGTATAAGCCGCTTATTAATCCGCTTAAGTAGCTCTAAGGTACGGTAAGTGCTAGTCTCGTTACTATTATAATTAGTCCTTAGTATTCGCTAGTGCTTCTCGAATATACGAATAGTAAGAATACCGGTTACAGACTCCTTAAGTGCTAGTATCTAGTATATATAATTTAAGCTATAGACCCTCCGATAACACTAGGTATAATCTAATAGCGTATAACTATTAGACTTCCGCTTCTCGAGCTCGGCGCGTACGAGAGCCCTTCGCTCGGCCGCTTTACGTAGAGCGAAGGTGCTAATATAGCTAACAACTTCGGTATAGAAGGGGTCGTTAAAGAATACTATTACTAGTCGTATAATCTCGAGTCTAACTATTGCCTTATAGCGGTTAACCTAATAGTAGAAATAGGGTACTATTCGGTTAATAAAGCTATAGATATCGTTCCTATAGGTCGTTAACTATGCCTTAATACTAGAATAGCAACCTTTAACTAGCGACGTTATTATATTACTAAAATAGCGTATTCTATCGATCTAGTATTTAATACACTGTTCTCGATAGATCTACTAAGTGTCGGCTACGTATTAATATAGTATATGCTACGCCTCGTTGTCTAAGTAGTTACGAGCTAGTTTACTATTGCTAGCGGCAATCTTGCCCTTCTTAAGATGCCGACAGTTGCTAGTAAACGAGTCGATAGACTAAGAGTCGATAGTAGCGCTAAATAGGTCTATAAAGTCCTATACCGCTTAACTTAATAGCCTACGCCTTGTTAATAGATTAGGAGGTCTAGTACTAAGGAAGGCCTTCGTATTAGCTTCTACTACGCGTTTGATATACTAGCGACAGAGCTAAGTACGTAGGTAAAGCTAGTCGCTTGCTAAGGCCTTTATTAATGCCCTATTACGGTCGTAGATAACAAGACGAGGCTCTTCTACGCCGTATTCCGATAACAACTCCTATATGCAGCTAATAGCTACTAAATACTGTTTAGTAGCCTATCTAGGTATAAATATAAGCGCTAAGGGGAAGGTCTAGTTGAATTAATTAAGTAAGGCGATTACAAGTAGCGGCATACTATAATCGTTAGTCTTGTAGGTACAATCTATAACTATAATATCCGGACAATTCTTGTAGATACTAATTATCTTAGGGTGCGAGAAATACAGCTATTCTAGCCGTTGCTTACCGCTTAGTCTAGTGCCGATAGCCTTCTGTACGAAGTAGTTCTATTATAGGAGGTCCTCGATCGTTTTGTCTACTACTAACTTGCTAGCGAGTCTCAATTTCTTAGCCTTTTGCTAGGCATTTAAGATGTCTCGTAAAGTGGCTAGTACGACTGCCGAATTTAGCCCTCCGCTCGAGAAACGAGCCTTAATAGCCGTCTTAATCTGTCGATTAGAAGCACTAGCGGCTCGTAGATTAAGTATCTCTTAGACAATCTCCGTAGTACAGTAACGGCGTCGGTAGTTAGCTAGTGCTATAGGATTAACGGCTAGATAGTTATAGCTATTACTATTGAATGTTACGGTCTATTAGCAGTTGCTAGGATTAGTCGAGTCTTTAGCTATTATCGTTACGGACTATAGACAATCGTATAACTTAGAGCGCCCTTTACGCTGCTTTGCTATTAGATTAAGCCGTCTTCGCTCTTCTAATTTATCTCTCTTAGCTTATCGTAGAGTAGGTATTAAATACCTAGCATAGCGGCGTTAGAAGGTCTATATAATATAGTCTGTATTAAGTCGGTTGCCTTACTTCTTCGTCTCGAAGCTCTTCTTTAGGGCAAACGTATCTACATACTCTTTAGCATTAATAACACTATTAAATACCTAGTTCTTAGGGTTCTTAATAGTTGCGTATAGTCTAGGTTCGTAGGCCTCGGTTTCTAACTCGCTCTAGTTACTATATTCGTCGTTGTTACTAAAGTTATAGACTAGTTAAGTCTTAATTTCTAGGAGAGGTTGCTATTCTTGCTAACTAACCCCGCTAGCACCGCTAGTACCGCCTTTACCGTTGTTACTGCTACTATTACTGCTTAGCGGTATTAACGGCGGCGGCAACCTCTTACTACGTACGCCGCGTAGTATAAAACGAATAGTAGTATAGCCTGCCTTATACTAAGCTAGCAAATTATCGAGAAACGGTAGTATTAGGTTTAGTATCTTAAAACTAGCATCTAGCTTACTAGACAACTAGGTGTCGAGACTATCGTATCTAGCCTTATACTCGAAGCTAATATACCGCTAGCAATACGAGCGCTCGCTTTCCGCTATATCTTCTTAGAAGTCTAAGAGAAACTACGTTAAATAGCGGCGATCGATACTATAGAAGTACTCGTAGCCTACTATATCCTTAGGTCTATATACCGTCTCGATCTATAGTTTAAGGCCTCCGAGGTTACCTAGCTTCGGCTCTTATACCGGCTGCGGCCTCTTACTACGTATCTCTTAAAACTAGCGCTTTCTTAGATTATATAGCTTAGGAGATAGAGCGGCGGCGGCGGCGGCGGCGGCGGCCTCGGTTTGTAGCTACGCAGAAGGGCTTAACAATATAGCTAATATAGGGTATAGAAGGGCGGCGATAGAATAGCGATAATAGCGATAGTAAGGTATATATAATAGCGACGGTGAGGTGGAAAACAGCTATCTAGCGGTGGAGGACATGACTAACAAATTTGCCTTAGGCCTCCTCCGCGATCGGACGACTGATTTATGAATAGCCGGAGCTGATTTACGAATAGTCGCGCCCGAGACGATGTCCATGCCCGTTGGCTCGGCGGGCACCCGTCATTTGCCTTTGACCATTTCCAGGGTCTAGCGCCAAGATCGAACATCCCCGCCCCCAGTCCTCTGCTCTTCACTGCAGCAGAGCAGAGAGCATCAACGACATCTTCCACGTCATCAAACACTTGGCCTGCATCAGCTGTGTGGCCGCATGCTTCACTACTAAACGACGTAGCCTGTCCGTGGCCCACCGTTTCACTGCTATTGTACTCCGGAGCACAAAGAACTTCAGCGAGTGACTGTAGCAGCATACAACTGCCGGCAGAGTAGCCAACCGTTAGACCTTTGGAACCGCCGTGCTGACGCGCTTCTTCTGGGTTTCCTGGCAACATGTCCAACTCCATTCTCGTACGAGCCTCGTAGCCTACGCGCGATCAAGCTGCCATAATGTGGGCGGTCCCGTGAAAAAGAGATTATGAATGCCCTGGAGCCACATTCGACTTGTTCCAGTCTGGCTGAGGGACGTTAGATCTTCAAAGGAAGCTTAAGGATTTGATATGACTGGTTAGAGATGGAGATGGGAGCTTGAGCTACTCCAAGCGAAGGTGTGAGGAAACTTGTGAATTAGAAGGGCAAATGCCGAAGGATGGGACTGGTGGGGAAAGGGTTTTTGGGAGAAGGGTATGGGACTTGAGTTCGCCTTGACTTTTGCCTTGCTCAAGAGTAATGCTCTTTTCGTTACGTGTCTGTCGTTACGGATTCTACCATGCTTGTTACACTGCCACTCCTCCGCTATCTTTCTGTCTCGGTTCACCCGCTGCTTCGAAAGTTCCATTTCCTAGTCTCCTGAGCTGCTGACTTGAGCTTTGACCTGGCGCGACGTAAGTAACATTGTGTCCTCTAGTTTTCATGAATGCGACTGTTTCGTTGTTGTAGGTGTATTCAAAGGAGACTTGGTTGGGTACAAGTTGATCGTGAAGTCTCGGTTGGGCTAAGGCTTCAGCAGAAGTCATGTTCTGATCCAGGACATGCCATAAATTCTGAAGTGTCGAGGTGATGATTCTGCTTCCTCCAGCAGCAGATGTGGCGAAGTAAAGGGTGCCATTTGCGTGTTCGACGATTGTGGGAGTGATGGATGATAGTGGTCTTTTGCCGGGACGAACATAGTTTACGGGTGATGGGATGTATCCAAAGGCATTCGATGCGCCGGGAACGGAGAAGTCGTTCATCTCGTTGTTGCAGATAACGCCAGTTTCTGGGATCATGAGGTGCGAGCCGAAGAGCAAGTTGACAGTGGTCGTGAGAGCAATCGCCAGCCCGGATGCATCAGCTGCAACCACAGCTGACGTGCCAGGCGTCTCCAGTGATTCGAATCCAGATGGATCATAAGCTGACACGTTCAAAGTGTGCAGTGGGTTGATCTTGGCACGCACAGCATTGACTGTCGTCTCATTGAGCATGTCAGCTTGGTACTCGTCCATGCCTTCGACAAATGATGGGTCTCCAAGACTGCTGCGCTGGCCATATCCAAAGCGGAGAGCTTCGTCGAAGATATGACTGCTTTCATTGATGGTGGACGACCAACCAATGTCTGGGTATCCTTCGATGATTTTCATTACCGACAGACCAACAGCGCCGGAAGATGGTGCACCACATCCGTGAATCTTGTAGTCCCGATATGTGATTGAGAGTGGATCACGGACTGCCGCCGAGTAGTTCTTGAGATCTGCAAGAGTCATGGTGCCATTGTTGGCTTGGATGTAGTTAATCCAGGTTTCAGCAATGGGCCCTGTGTAGAAGGCGTCTGGCCCATGCTCTGCAATGGTCTCAAGTGTAGCGGCATATCGTTTGCGAGTGATGGTATCACCGAGCCCCAGACGAGTGCCGTTTGGAGCAAAGTCAATCGCCCAGTTGGGATCTTCTACCAAGAAGTTCTGAATGCCGACCACTGCAGAGTCCATGTACTTTACCAGGTCTTTGCCTACCGTCCAGCCGTCTCTAGCTACCTTGACAGCAGGCATGACGAGATATTTCCACGGCAAGCTGCCATAGCCTTCGTGAAGGCGTTGCAGACCACGTAGCTCTCCAGGTACGCCACTAGCCAGCCCGGTATAGATGCTACTGTTGGTATTGTTCGTGTACATGTCCTGGAAAGCAGCTGCTGGAGCTGTCTCTCGGAAGTCGATAAACTCATAGCTGCCATTTCTGGACCTGACAAGCATGAACCCACCACCGCCAATACCGCTAAGCTTTCGTTAACAATGGGAGAATGTGTATTGCCAAGGTCTTTACTCACGAGTGGTACATGCCCACTACACCGACACATAGTACAGTCGCGACTGTGGCATCAGCCGCATTGCCGCCTTTCTTCAAGACGTCCCCGCCAATTTCGCTGCAAATATCAGACTCGCTAGCAACAGCACCGAGCTTATTGCAGTCGGCATCTTGAGCAGTGTTGATCTCGTATCCTGCTAAATCGGTAGGAGCAGCAAGAGTGAGTTGTGACAACAGCGCACTCGGCAACACAAGCCCGGAAACCCTCATATTGAATTGCAGTGCGACTGCAGAGAAAAGGAAGAGTATAGTGGTTCCTCTGAGGTGCAACATTGGCGCCACTTATGTAATAAGCCGAGAAGCATAGTACCACTTTATTGTTGGTAATTCGTGCTGCGATCTGGTGTCTCGCATGGTTGCAACGTGGGATCAGTAGGGAAAACGCGATGCTTCCATTGCTTATCGGAAAATACGGCTCCAACTCGGTGCGACTGTGGATGGTTGTCGCGTGTATGAGATGTGATAACGCGATCGCTTATCTTTGGAGGAGTGGACAAGACTCGGCGAATGCAAGGTGACTTTGGCCGCGAGAATCCCATACTGTACCGCTTTCTGTTAGTGAAGAAACACGTGCAGATGGACGCTTTTCGCAAGAGATCGATCTAACATGAGTGCAAATGATATGGAATAATATGTATAGATCTGACCACGGCTATGATGTTTTAACTCCGTGCCCCCGTTGCTACCTCAGCGAACTCTGTACAACAACAATCGTCTCAAGGCTGCCGGAGCTGACACCGGTTTGCTCGGAGTTCGTCTTCCGAGCGTCGGAGTTCACCTCTCTTCCTGGCTTTCTTTCGCTGCAATAGGGATCCCTCCTAGGCGGCTGTAATATGGCAGACACTCATCTTTCACGACCCCTTCGCTTTCGTGAGAGAGTCATCTGGGCGTCCAAATTCTCGACGGTAATTGTCGGTCTCCGGGCCTAACGATGGCACATTGCACCCCGGCCCTTGATAACGCCGCGTGTTTGGCCTTAGATCGGACAAGGATTTTGCCAGCGAGCAGATGGGCAGTCGTTCTGGCAACATTCGCGAGTGTGAGATACGCTTTCCTTTGGATGAGAATACCTCCGGTTTGCCGCTACCGATTTGCTGCAGTACCGTATCGTGCACTTGTTCCTGCGCGGCGAGTGTTGCACAAAGGTCTACAGATACCTTTGTTCCACATGAACGCCTTCCGCTCGAAATCGCGACGCCCTATGTGAAAGCCGCAGGAGTGGCTTGAGATTGCCGTCTGCATTATCAGGCCATCTTGCAACAGGCAAGAGGGCGCACAATGTTCGACACTGCAGACTTTGATTGCGTTGTTGTCATGGATCGTGGAAGCATCGTCGAGAGAGACATTCCAAGGGAGCTGTTGCCGCAGAGTGGTGGCGTACTCAAGACCGCGTGGGAGAAGTCTGGCCATCATTGAATGCACCGTACAAGGCGGATCGCCGCGGTCATACAGGCTGCTTGCTCAGTATCCGCACAAAGCTCGATGACAAGCCAAATTCATTGGGAATGAGAGATTGAAGATTTTCGTCAGTCGAAGATACAACCCTCACGCTGTATTTCACTGTCAATTGAATAGCCTTCTTCTCAGCCCGTCAATTAGGACGGAGTCCTGCATTTGTCCTTGCCTACGGGCTTATCCGAGTAAGTGCTGTAAAAGAGCCCCCGGACTCGACTTTGTGGTCGCCGAATGCATGTATTGGGGAATTGACAGCATCTAAGGAGGAATGCCGTGCTGCTAGAGATGGACATGGCGTTGCACTGAAATCTGGTAGATGGACGAGCAGAAGGCGTCGAGAGACGTGAACGAATTATTAAATTTGAGCTAAAGCATACCCCTGTCAAAGACGCGCCACGGCTTACTAAGAAGCGGACATGTTGCAAGAAGTTGGAAGGAGAGCCTCTCAAAGCACATCGATGGTCGAGATGGCCACTGAACTCTTGACGCCAGCTGTACTCAGCTATATCGATCATGGCGCTTTCCCGCAGCACGAGGATATCGCATCTGCCACCCTCACGCCCGACCACCTTCAAGCGCTGAGCAACGCATTAAAGCACGAGCAAGAACAAGTCAAGCAGGAGATAAGGGGTCTCAGCAAAAGCGCAGCCGGCGATGTAGATACCTGGATAGCCCGTGCAAAAGAGCTCCAGGCAGACATACTGCGCAGTAGGGAGACCGCGAGGCAGATCGTGGCAGAAGCGGAAGCGGGCAAAGAGCTCAAGGCGAAACTAATAGACAAGAAGCGTAAAGTCGAGCTTCTTGAGAAGGAAGTTGCGGTAAACGAAGGGATAGTTGGGCGACTTGAGCATGTGAAGCATGCACATAATGAGCTCGAGGAGATCCGCGAAGCTCTGGTGCGCGGCAGCATCGAAGGATTGCTTGTCAAGCTCGAGCAGGCCGAGGAGAGCATTTTGGGTCTTGGTGATGCATATTCCGGTGTCAGTCTTGTTTTACAGAGGAAGACGCAGAAGCTGAGAGTGGGTCTAAGCGAGACCGTTCAGACGAGATGGGCTGCTGCCCTTCACGTTGATGTGGAGAATCGCTCAGTCACGATGAAGGACTCCGTCAAGCCAATTGTAGAGATCGCCCAAGGCCTTGGACTCTTCGATGATCTTGTGACAAATCTCACCAAGAATGTCGAGAAAGCTATTTTCAGACCTCGCCTCGCAATTGACAGACAAAGCAGAGTGCCTGCTGTACAGATCTCAGGCTCTCAGCTTGCGTTATCAGCACCGGTCGAAGACTGCAGCTTGGACAAGCTACTGAAGGACTTGCGGTCAGCGATCGACTATTTAGCGGAGCATTTGCCAGCAGATGTTGCCTTGCCGCTCTCTCAGCATTTAGTACCGGCATTATCTGCTCGGCTTGAAGACGAGTGGCTCGAACCGGCTGTGCCTCTGGACATATCAGAGATGTCAGCATTTCATCAAATTCTTGCTGATGTGGAAGACTTCGCCGGCCACATTGAACAAGTTGGGTGGCAAGGCAGCAAATCAATTTACGCATGGGTTCAAGCGGCTCCGAAGACCTGGTTGACTAAGCGTCGCGAAGGACTTCTTGGAGATGTTCGCAATTTTGTGTTCACTGGAATCCGAGATCGAAAAACAGTGGAGCGTGTGGAGACACAGATGGTCAGTCAAGATGATGCTCTGGCTGGTGGGGGCGGAGACGGTGAGGATGACTGGAATACGGCTTGGGACGAAGCAGATGATACCTCGGCCGCCGCCGCTGTTCCCCAAGAGCCAGCCACTGCACCTGCCGAGGACGAGGATATGAGCGCATGGGATGAAGATGACACGAATGAGCCTGCAAAGGAAGAGGAATCCAAGGACGACGATGATGCCTGGGATGCCTGGGGAGAGGGCTACGGCGATAGCAACGAATCTACCGCTGCAGCGACGACACCAAAGATTCCACAACAGCAGCCAACGCTTGCAAACGGCGAACGGGCTACGGTCAAACCTTCCGAGCGCGAGGTCACGCTCAGAGAAACGTTCAAAGTGACTGCTGTCCCGGATGGAGTTCTTGACCTTTTACGACAAGTGATTACCGATGCAACGACGCTTGCAGGGCCTGAGCATGCCAATTCCCCTATTAGGGTAGCCTCACAAGGGCTGTACACACTACCTACATTGGCATTAGCCATCTATCGCGCCACTGCGCCTACTGCCTATGCGAAGCTGGACACCGGCAACATGCTCATTTACAACGATACGATGCGCTTGGCAGATCAACTTCGAGCGTGGCAGGCCGATCAGCCCTCGCAAAGTCGTTTGCGCCTTGATAATGATGTCAAGGCCCTCGAACAGTTTGCGAAAAGAGCGTACAGTGCTGAGATGGACAGCCAAAGGACGATCCTGCTCGACCAACTGGAAGGCGCCCAAGGATTCAGTCGATGTTCCGAGCAGCCATTCAAATCCGAATGCGAAAGTGCTGTGGAGCAAGCAGTTCTGCGTCTGCGCGATGTGCATGGTATGTGGGAGTCTGTTCTATCAAACTCCGCTCTGCTTCAGTCAATTGGCTCGTTGCTCTCTACACTCATCGCAAAGATGATCCGAGACGTGGAAGATCTGCCCGACATCGGTGAGGCCGATAGCAAGGAGCTCAAAGCCCTTTGCGAGGCTATAACTGAGACCAAGGACATCTTCACACAAGCAGCACCAGATGGAAGCCAACGGGAAATGGCTTTCGTGTACTGTCCTAATTGGCTAAAGTTCCAGTACTTGGGCGAGATACTGGTGGGCACGCTGGCTGATATCAAGTACCTGTGGAGCGAAGGCGAGCTGAGTCTGGAGTTCGAAGCAGAGGAGGTTGTAGGTCTCATCGAGGCGCTTTTCGCAGAGTCGAGGCATAGACGAGAAGCTATTCAAGGGATCAGAAGGGGTGGAAGGAGATAAGCATATACCAAACACATAGTAAGAACCCGATGAAAGGGCTCATTGACATGGCTCAGCAATCTTTAAGCCAGCAGGATCCAGGTCTTAAGTAAACCCCATGAGACCAGATCAAAAGACTCTTGGGATCGCCACTTCGCAAGTATTGCTTGTTCTTTCTAAGATTCATTCTCTTCCTCAAAAGAGCGGGGCACTCAACGCTCATATTTCTGCAGGTCGAAAATATTGCTGAAGCTAAAGCCTTATCGATAGTATTTCATACGGCAGCGGGAAAGCTCAACGGTGCAAATGGAAGTGAACGAAGGCAGATGGCTCACCTTGGCGACATCCACGACAACGCTTTCGTTATGCTTCAATAATGACTGAAGCTAGAATACCAACCACGAAGTCCCGAAGAAGAGTCATGCTCAAGCTATGCAAGGTACGCAGATCAACTCCCGGCTAACAATATTACACCCTAGACCTTGGGTCTGCTTCCAACCCCTCTTTCAAGAACCGAGGGAACACATAGTTGCTAAGAGGTAGATTGTGAGTTGCTACAAGGTTTCGACAGGCCTACCTAGTAATAACACTGCTCATTGAATTCTAGTAGTAGTAACTCAGGCGCAAGACAGGCTCGAAAAGCTAGAGAAGCGTTCTCTGAAATCTTGTCTCAGAGGATTTGTATACCGCACCTGCTGTAACGACGCATAAAAAAGGGGTGAATGCGTAGACAGTATAAAAGTAAAAGTATGTGCGGTTACCGGTCCTTAGTGTAGTCTATAATCAATCCAATCAATCTAGACTCCCCTAAATTGAATTGGATTGCTAGGACCCCTAGATTAGATTGAATTGGATTGCTTTAATAGGGGCTAGATTGGATTAGATTAGATTGCTAAATTAGTAGGACTAGGCGAGATTAGATTATATTAAAATGCTAAGCCTACCTAATTTAGCCCTTTAGCCCCTTCTAGGGGGGGAATTGAATTAGATTGCTTTATAAAGGGCTAGATTAAATTAGATTACTTTAGAAAGAGGCTAGATTAGATTAAATTAGATTGCTTAGTTAGTAGAAATAAGCTAGATTAGATTAGATTGAATTACTAAGCTAATCTAGATTGCAATCCCGGATTAATTATAGACTATACTATCGGTCCTTATATTGCGATCTTTAGACTAGTTTGCGATAGAAACTCTAAAGAGCGCCTTACTTATAACTTTCTAGTAAAAATTACTAGAAATCCGAATATAAAGGTATATATAGTAATAGTCTAAGTATAACGCGCGAGATCTTCCTTTCCCTATTTACTAACTACGTATAGCTTCTATATTCTACGACCTTCTATTACGTATAGCGTAGTAAATTACTTACGTAATACTACCTTGCCGGCGGTTTAAAATAGCTTCGTTAATCGCCTCTATTCTATCTATTCTATAGTCTAAAATATAAAAATCCTTTATCTACTAAGAAGTTATATAATTATTATATAACTAAGCTAACGCGTTATCTATCCCCTTAGCTTAAATAAGAGGGGTATTCCTTCTATTTTAGGCAAGGTAGCTAATACTTCTTTATATAAAAACAAAACGAAAATTAATCTTTTCAACTTCTTATATAGTACTTTATTAAAATAATAAAAAATTAGTTTAAATCTATACTATATATAAGAGAGTCTTATTTTATACCCCGTATACCCTAAAGGATATCGTTATATAATCTAGACTACGGAAAACCCCCGAGGAGGTCTATAAATTACTACGGCTCTTATATACCTTCTTCTTACTAATACTAGTAATCTTAGTATATAACTTTAGTATACGGCTTCTACTATTATAACGGCTATTTCCTCTATTCTTATTAGGTTTCTTATTATCGTTATTACTAGTAGCCTATATAGCGGTATTAGCTTTACCTATTTCTACGTTATAGATAATACTAAAAGATAACCCCTTCTTAGTAGAAGTACCTAGTAGGCTAGTATATTACGGGCATAGTCCTATACTATACTAACTAGGTAGAGGAATCAATTAGTATTAGGTAAGGCCTAATATATTATATAGAGCCCCTTACTATAGGTTTTATCTATATTCGTAACTACTATATAGAGATACACTACTATACTATCTAGCTCTAAGTATTATATACGTTTTATCTTCTTATATGTAATAGGGGTTATATTAGTAGGTAGATAGGGTAGTAGTAGGTATAGGTAGTATTCGATAAGGAGCTAGGAGGAGAGGGAGGAAGGCAGGCAAGTTAGCCTATTACTAAGCGCTAAGCCCTGCCTAAGGCATTAAGACCCTAGCTTCACTCGAGTCCGGTTACATGCTAATTACGTATAACCTCTTTAGTCCTAATATACGCTTCCCTTCTAAAGGCCGCGCCCTCGTAGCCTATCTATATTCTAATAATTAATCTCGACCCCTATTACTACTAACTTAGTAAGTCTAATAAGCTACTTAGCCCGCGCTAAATTAAACACTTAACTACCTAATTATATAACTATATTAAACCTTACCTTCTAATACAATGTCTAACTCTAACTGCGCTATTCCTATATATAATGTAAGAAGGGTATGTTAGTAGGTAGATAGGGTAGTAGTAGGTATAAGTAGTATTCGATAAGGAACTAGGAGGAGAGGGAGGAAGGCAGGAGAGTTGGCCTAACGCCAAGCGCCAAGCCCTGCCTAAGGCATTAAGACCCTAGCTTTACTCGGCCTAGTTATATGCCAATTACGTGTAGCCTCTTTAGCCCTAATATACGCTTCCCTTCTAAAGGCCGCGCCCTCGTAGCCGGTCTTTGTCCTAGTCTTAACCTCTATTGCTACTAACTTAGCAGGTCTAATAAGCTACTTAGCCCGCGCTAAATTGAACACTTAACTACCTAATTATATAACTATATTAAACCTTACCTCTAACAATACAATGTACAACTCTAACTGCGCTATCTCTATATATAATAAACTATAAAGTAATATGTATCTATAAGAATTGAAGGCCTTCGACTAATTATAATACGAGCGCGTCTTCCCTACTATAATAGGTAGACGTACGAGGTATTGTAGCACTGCCTCCGTTCTAAGTAATGTCGTATCGAGTTCTTTGCGTCTACTCTTAAAAGACCTAGCAATGTCCGCTTCCGAGGGTTTGTCCGTTTCCGAGGGTTATTGTTCTTATTGTTCGTAGTTTCGCTAGCCCTAATTAGCTAGGTTTAGTAGCCTTTAAGTGTTAATCTTATCTTATCTTTTTAAAAAACATAGCTCGTCTAGTTTCTATAAGTAAAGGCTATTATAAGTATAGTAGTAGAGGTTCGCCTCGCTTAAAGGGTTAGATAGATCGAGGAGTAACCTATTGTCCGCAAGATCGACCCCGGCTAGCTTAGCTCTATAGTTTTTGCCTTTAGTTAGTTAGTCTATTAGTCTACTTAATCTTTTAAGTAGCTTAAAGCTTTAACTTAGCCTCAAAGTTTTAATTAACCCCTTAATAGGCTTAATCTTTTAGGCGGCTTAAAGTTTTAATTAAAGTTTTAATTAAAGGTGCCTTAGGCTCGTAGTATAGGTAAGGTTGTCTTAGTAGATGCAGTAACAATAGCAAGTAATGTTAATAATAGCGGCGCTAGTCGTCTTTGCGCTAACTTTACCTCGCTTCTAATCTCCTTTTTCAACTAATAATATACTCCGCAATACCGTTACTAATATAGCCGCGTCGGCCGCGCTGTCTTCGCCGATTGCCTAGGCCTCGAGGCCCCGATAGAATAAGGGAATAAGAGGGGGACCTATAGGGCGCGTTAGTAAAGAGGTAGAGTCCTTAAAAGAGTATGCGATTAATTAATAGACGCGTCGTAGCGCGCCTAGTATAGTCTTATTGTCCTAGTTTGCCGGCCTCTAATTAGTTAGCTAATAGTACCCCGGGGGTAGCATTATTCCTAGGCGACATTATAGGCCCTTAGCTTTCTTCTTGTTCTTTATACTAGTCTAATACTTATCTAACAACTTAGTTATATCCTTAAACGAGTCTTCGGCCTCCTACGAGTCCTATTTAGGTAAATAGCCTTACTATCTTAGGAGGTACTCCTTCTTGCCTCGCCTAGTCCGATAATCTAGGATACGTTCTATAGACTACAGCTCTTTACTATCCGCTAGTATGTCTTCGTGTTTAGTAGGGGCTTCATCCCCCTCGCGTAGGTAATATAGCTTAAGGAGAGATATATAGAAGGTATTATAGATAGTATAATAAGGAGGAAGCTACAACTAATAGGCCTATACGGAGGAGCCCTTAACTTCTCGAATGCGGAATAGACTAATGTACCTTAGTGCCAGTTTAGGGCGTGTTTTGCTATTAGGTAATAGGTGTTTGCGGATGCGGAGGTTCTTCGTACTAAGCATAACTATATCGCCTTGTTTGAAGGTTATTAGCGTATAGTGTTTGTTATAGTAGGCCTTCTAATAGGCCTAGGCCTTTGCTGGTTTATTAGCTATTATAGCGTGAATTTCTCGCATCTTTTGAACCCTCTTAATAGCCGCTAGCGTCTTAGGTGTTAGTACTTAACGCGCTTCCCTTTCCTTACGCTCGGCCTCGAGCGAGGTAAATAGGTCTTATAGTAAGGCGGCGTTCTAGCCTATTATAGCTATATATAGTAAAACCTTAGTAGATAAGTATATACTATTATTATACACGAATTCTATAGGCTATAGGAGATTGACCTAGTTATTAGGGTTCTTATTGATATAGCTACGCAGGTACTGCTATAGCGTAGCATTCTGCCTTTCGGTTTAGCTGTCTATTTGTAGATAGAATGCTATAGACAGGCGATGCTTAAGTCTCGGCTGTAGGCAAGTCTTGCTCTAGTAGTAAGATGTGAATATCGAGCCTCGGTTAGAGACTATCCCTTTAGGGGTCCCCTAATAGGTATAGAAGATATTGTTCTATAGCGCTTCTACTATATTGGTAGCAGTTCAATCTTTCCGCGCCGGGATATGTTCTACTATATTAATAGCAGTTCAATCTTTCCGCGCCGGGATAT